CAGCCGTTGATAACTTCAATTGCTCACATCTCGTGAATGTGGGAACAAAACTGTTCATGCAATATCTCAAAAGATGTGGAAAAAATTCATAAGTTTTCTGATACCAAGTAAGTCAGGATTTAGAGCGGATGAAATAAATTAGAGCCATTTCTGTTTCCCATAGACTTAGCATAGTGAGTATTACGTTGAAGGGGTCCACGAAGAGGTCCTATAGTGTGTCTACGAGAAACTCAAAAAGGCTACAACTTGTTTCAGTTGCTCTAAATCCCATATTACTTGGTATCGAAAATCTTGTGAATTTTTTCTGCATCTTTTGAGATATTGCTTGAACAGTTTTGTTCCCTCATTCACGAGATGTGAGCACCTGAAATTATCAACGGCTGAATCAACACATTTTTCAAATTTGCCCTAGCGTTGCCATCTATGGGTGGTTGACAGATGTGCACATTGAGTGCACAACACGGGCACAGTTATCTAAGTATGGTAAGGTAAATGTGCTCTATCTAAGTAAGGGACACACGCCTCGTACATCATGATCAGCGAGAAAGAACTGCAGCGCCTCACGCGAGAAAAAGGAATGAACCACAGCGAGTACGGGGACATCAGCAAACCGACAAGAAATCCCCAGCCCCAGCCGCTTCTACACCTGCCCGAAACGTCCGTAATAAGCCAAAAGCCTGAACACGCAGCTTTGCATTATCTTCTCTGTTAAGTCTCGTCTCTCATTTACGTCTGGTGATGTTTATTGCTGCAGTTTATCCGTAACAAAACGCAGGATGTACGCCTCGTAATCGGTGGTCCACATTGGTCCAGGGAGAAGATGACAACGTGGTGATTGGTGGCATTGTTTAATTAGCAAGATCCGGGTGGTGTTGAGACATGACATACTATTTCATCATTCAAAAACCGTCTTTTGTCGTCATGTCTGTCACTGGTCAATTGAAAACGGTGTTGAATGCTTATTCACCTGGATGCTGTAGTGTAGAGGTAACCGAGACAACGCCCCGAATAGCGCCAATTTAGACAATCATACAGTTTATACGGCGCATGATAATTCTTGGTTGGTTTGCGTGCCATTGAAAATTAATGTGCTAAGCCATGAGTAGAGATGCAGAAGGTTATTTTCACTTGAAATATCTGTGGAAATAATGCTGCTTATGTACCGTAGTTCGTCCAATGATTGGTGTAACACTGTTGAGTGGTTGTCGATGGTCACGCCAACAACAACATGATCGCATATTATTGGCACACACGTTGGCTTAGGTTCAAAATTACGAGCTTAGGTTCAAATTCGTATTATATAATTACTGGCACGTTCATATGAACCTGTACAGGGCAACGGGTCTGCGGCCCGACGTATGTGATCACCGTAAAACGCGAGCTGTTGTACGTTGTTCTGCTGGAATCTTGTTTTACGTTTTGTAAAGTTTGTATTTCAAGTGCTAACAGTGTTTCTCATTGTTATAAATGCTTACTTATGGCGTACACTCAGCAGTGTAAGGCAAATATTGTAAAAGATGTGCTGTGATGAATCCATCGTTTTTGAATATTTATGGTGGATAGCGGGATTCTATACCAAAATTAATGCAGAATCATGTACTCTGTGCTTAATCCAACCAACGCAAACACTTATGTACGTATTCGGGTAGAAAGCGACAAAGCGTGTTCTGTACACCGTAATACAGATTGATAAGTCTATTACCAAAGCTTTCATGAACTTCCCTGGTTCATGGAATAATTAATTACAATCCATAGTACGGTTATGTATTATATAAATTACACAATTGTAACGTTCTGGTGAAGTAAAAATATTAGAGAACCTATGTGAAAAATTCTCGTGTGATTGATTTGATCTCCAACGTATTATCAGTCTCTAACATTACACAAGCTCATATCACTGTAATATAAAAAAAAAACAGAATTAAGTACCTTAACCAATTGTCACTAGGGTAAGTATCCGTATCTTTAAACTAGCAAGCTCGTATTATAAACCCTGTCGTCAAAAATGGCGGCAAATTGTTATGTGCCTAACCGCTTCCTGTTGTCGTGGTGTTCATTCGTTTTCCTTCACTGCCGTCAACATCTCTGTCCGTAATCATGCCAGACTTCAGTTTGTTATCCCCATACACGTAATTGTACCCCGAGTCCGGTCATGATCGAATTTCGTGGCTGTGCGACGGTACCTCGTTAATGGTAAGGACATGCTCTGCCTCACCGCCCCTTGCCCCACATAGCTGTAATTACCCTTCTGACTGATTCCCATTGGAAAGCGCTCTCGAAGATCCGGTGTATTAACACGCGGAAACAACGCAGTCGCCAAAAGTGGATACGTTCCGTTATCGAAAGGCGCCCTATCGCAAAGCAACCAGCACGGCGGTAGGGAAACGTCGCAATGGTACGCTATAATGCTGCCGATAGGTGTGGTATTTTCCAAAGCTGTGGACAAATTATATATCTGCCGCGCTACGTTATCAAAGGTCGATTTCAAACGCTCAATATCCATTAGAAGAGATTCATGATTTCCGGAAAATGGCACATTGACGGCCGATGAGAGGTCACCAGCTTTCGAACTACTCCACACCTTTATTTGTCCAAGGTCACCGTCGGAATTTAGGGCAGTCAGATTAATACAATGCAGCGTCGTCAGACGGATAACGAACTTATCACCGTTCCAAAGGATTAAACCTTTCGGATCTTTTAGCTGCGAACGAATACCGCTCCAGTCCATCGACGAAGTGCTCTCCAGGGCAATGGAATTATTGTCCGATTGAAAAAACGCTTTGATCCAGTTATTACCGTTACCTAAAGATTCGTTAAGATTTTTTATTATTTCGTCAGGACGGATGCTGCCGACCGGCCAGAAGACGCCTTTCTAGCTCTGTTCCGTGAATTCGGTAGTTGACCTGACTTTGGGCTTTAAAAGCCGAAGAACGCTGTTCGTAGCTTTGTGCAATTCGTTCTCGCTGACAAAGTCTTCATCGGGTATGGCTTCCTCCAAAAGAGTATCGAGGGCTTCCCGCGCCAGCCGCCGCAGATCGGTATACTAGTGAGTCTGCGATGTCCGCCTGGGGAAGCAACCGGACGCCGTAAAACGCATTTAATCAAGGGAGCAGACAGAAATTCGTTAGACACACGCTCTATCTAACTCGGTACTTTTGATTAAAAGCGGTGCCCGTTTTACGGTTTACGGCGGATACCGCATACTCACTACTGCAGACATACAACCGCCGTCCGGTAGAATTTCTGCTGGATTGCCCGGAATGTATCCGATGACTGAAGAGCTGCAGCCTTGATCGAAATATTTCGCTTAGTATCCACAGGTTTCTTCAGCGCGAAGGTCAGTTCTAAGCCGAACAGAAGCTGATCTTGAGAATTCTCCACAGCATTTTGAACGCTGGTGCATTCAGGATCGGTAGAGCAGAGAATGCGCACCAGTACGAAAGCCGGTTGATGCGTAATAGGCGTCCATTGATTCATGACTTTTATCGGTAGGGTATTATCTATAACGTCCACGCGCACACTGTGAAATGGGATGATGCGAACGCTTGACGGACTCGGTTGATGGCCCTGCTGGGAAAGTTGTAATTGGATGTGTTCTCCATAGGAAATATTCCATAATTTAACTGAAAAGGCTACATAGCTTTGCAGCTCGTTATGAACGATGTACGTTGAATTGGGTACAAACAAACCAGCAGGTGCGTAGTAGTAAGACCAATTAGCTACCGAGTCACCGATGTATCTATATATACGTGCCTGGAACCCTTTGTACGGGACATTGATGTAGACGGAAGTGAGGTCGACCGGGGCAGCTGCAAAAACAACAGCAAGTAAATTGAAAGTATGTAACAGTAAGTAAATTTGAGCTACAATTGGGAACCAAGCGGCTTTTGCATACCACAAGACTGCAATGCAACAAGTTGACACCAGAGTAGTCCTATAAACTCAGCTTCAAACATCGTGGCCCGGTGCTTGCTGGGTAAAATTTCAGAATTCCAAAACAAAGGCTACTGCAGTAGAATTTCCAATGCAGATCTTGTTCCGATTGGACTTCAGGCTGGTATTTCCACTTCCAGTTTTACAAGCCAACCGGAAATTTGAAATGAAAACAGTTTCAGCCGGCAAGCATAATGCTTGATCGTGACGGCAGTCATTTACTGCATCGCAAAGTAACCGAATTTTCCAAAATTAAGTGACTGATTTTTCCCACTGCGATTCAGAAACAGGTTATCGCTATTAATGCTACGAGTATTTGAAATACATGATTACCACTACAGGCTTCTCAATATATCTGTATAAGTAAGTTTAAATTTCCCACTTTATTGGCTCGCCAAAACAGTTAACTTAATTTTATCCGGTACACCACTGCGACTACCTGCGAGCAAAACAAATGAGCCGTTAAATATGTAGTGCACTAATTTTATGCGAGTAAAAAGCTGTTTTCGGATTGCCTTAACAAGCGTACAAGTACATAACTACACACTGTTAATAGAATATGTATCTTAATTATAATATATATTTTGTACCGTGCGAAGACGTACTTACGAATATAGTTATATGTGCCAATGTGCGCACCATAAACAATACATTAGTACGTACTTAGTTGCACAATAAGTGTACCATAATTAATTTATTGTATTTATTTATACGGTATGGAATACAAATGCACAACTCGTGTTATTTAATTTCACATGGTACTTTACTCACTTCATGCTTGGAGTTTGGACCGAGATCGCAGGAATTCTGGACTGACCCCGCGTACTAACGCATGCGTAGGTCGACGTAGGCATTATTTCGCACTCGATCCGAACTACAGCAAAAAACTGATTCGCTCTGGACTATGCTGCCTGCGAAGTGCCGCACTGTATCTGACAATATTTTATTATCATGGTGATTGTACATGATTGTATGTAATGATATTATTGAGCTATAAACACGTACAGTCCGTGTACGTAAGTCAGTACGTAAACTTACGATAATAATTATTAGCACTACGAGTAGGTGGCTAGGTCCGATCGTAGTCTGCAGGAGCGTTTTATTTATAAATTTCGCTTTTTTTAGTAGATATTCACAGGTACGGCGACCGTCAGGAGCAATAACAATGTCACCACTTCTGGACGTTGCTGCTTTTACAGGGCTAGGTGGTGTGCTGGATTTTATCCCTGTTAAAGCAGTGGCAGCACCAAACCGGATCCCTTGTGGAGTAGTTACGGCCGGAGGGGGCTGATACATTTCTCGGCCAATGCATGAGTACAGACTGAGGAGAGTATATCTACCTGTACCTGCGACCAGCTACTTACTGTAAAGTGTAAACTGTAAACCTCAATGACCTCGCTAATAAAAAGACGCAATTCTTCTAAAATTTAGTTGACTAAATCCAAAAGTAATAGTAAAGCTGTGTGAGAGTTTAAATGAATACAGTAATTTGATTACCGGTTTCACCGACTCACTTCAACGGCTTAAGCCTTAATACTGTAAACCCACCGTCCAGGCGTCCACTATTGCTCTACTTGGCAGCCGTACGGCAACGTCAAGCGTATTTTGCAGTAGCAGCTGCAGTGGACTGCATCAGTCGATGCCTGCACGCGAACCTGGCTGCAGCGCATGTGGATTTGATAGCATCCCTTGGTCGTTGTCATCCCGGAAATTTTATCTCACCTCCTTCCACCCGTTATCATCCTCGTTTTATGTATCTTCTCCATCATCCTCCCTCTAAGGTAACCGATCATCTGCCCGTCGTCAGTGCAGGAAAAGCATGTTTTTCGGCAATCGGCCAGCAGCGAAGCCGCTGTCTGGATTGTCAAGAACCCTTTTGCTGCGCGCCGCGGCACTGTGCTCAGTGTTGTTGCATAAGTAGCAAGGAGTTCGAAGATATATTGTGCTTAATGCTTGTCTTATTCGGGGATTAGGAATCACGCGCCTGTGTTAAGTAATTTGGAGATTGCGCACGGTTGCTGCGTCGTCGTACCGTGGTTCTGCAGTCACTGCATCAGTGCATCCATCTCTATTTTCCTTTCGGTAAGTAGACTGCGGTGTAATTTATGAACATCAAAGGGAAATTATGAGGTCGCTTACTAACATTGTTAAATCTACTCAGTAGTACCATAATCATGAAAACTCGTTGACGAATCGTTTGATCGAAAATCGTTTGATCAAAACTTTACCTGCATTGCGCAGTAGCAATCTGGACTTTTAAAGTAGCGTTTCTAATACCGTAGTTCACGGTAGTTGTTAGCTTGCAGCGTACCATTGATGTTGTGCAGCATAAACCGTAAGTCAGTTGTTTGCTTTGTTTGTGTTCCTCAATGGGTAATCTTGATAGGCGGGGCCCTCGACGCATTGTAAACCGGTTATCCAGCGAAATTCAGACAATTTTTTCCTGCTCCCGCTGATTAAGTGATTATCCCAGAAAGCCCTTGAATTTCTCGAATCTGAATCATTGCGTAATCTTTCTAGCTCCTGTCTGAATGTGATCTGCTGCTGGTCGGGCATTACAGCATACCGTTCAGAAAGCCTACCTTTATCGTCACCGGAAAACCTACCGTGTGTGCACCGAACTGACACTAATATGGCTCTGGAATGCCGTAGGGAGGTTGCGTTCACTATTAGTAAGTACTCTGTACATAATAAGAGAAAAACGCAAACGGACGAAAAATTGGTACTGGTTTGGGCTTGTGAAATGAGTCTAAAATGCATGATCGTTTTAGCTGCCAAGGGAAAGCCATTGTTCGGTTTCTTGGGGGTTTTGCAGTTACCCATATCGGGTGACGTTATCCGTGACTTTGAGTTTGGCGACAATCCTCAGGACGTTCAGGCCGATTACCATGTTCCGGCACAGATAGGAGTCTTGACGGAGAGCCAGGAAACCCTCGTAGTGGCGACAGTTCTGGGCCGAACCTGGCAGGCCATAAATGGAATGATTAAAAAATAGTAGGTGTATGCATATGTTCGTTTTTCTGTTCTTCGCGCCGGTGCTTTTGTTTGTCAGTATAAATGAAAATAAAAAAACGTCATAATTATGAAACAAATTTTAAATTGTAAAAATTAATTTTTTGTTGAAACTGTAATCGATCACTGGTGACTCTGAACAGCTATCAAAAGGACGCCGACCGTTTATGGGATTACATTCGCCGGGCAGCATTGTTTCTTCTGTGTTAAACAAATAAACTGTGTCAGAGAAGGAAACTCATTAATTCTGCACAATGCTTCCTAGTTTCCATAACATGGCTAATGGTCATTCTACGGTGTTTGCACTGACTATGCGCACACATTGTCACGATCGCTGTGGTTTTTCTGACTCGCACTGTTTTTCCAGCCTTAACAGTCGATTGTTTGGACAAGGACTTGTGAAAGATTGTAAGTTTTACGGGTCGGACATCCCGCCCACGCCTCGCGGTATATCTGTGGCTAACATTCTGGTTCCACGCGGAACGACGGAAGCTCAAGCCGTCGCTGCCAGTAACGTCGCAAATCCTACGTCTTTGTTCCCTATGCCACCGTGCAGCCTGACCTTGACATCGTACAGGCCTCAGTATTTTTTAATGGTAAATATATAGTGCGTGACAAGTTGTTGAGGCGCGATAACGGATTGGCGAGTAACCGGTTATTCGTTATTTGCAAAACTAGTGAACGCGCACGGTGGTGGATCTGGGGATACGGATGGGAAGCCCGGCTCTGATTTGAAAGAGCGGGCTAGCCGCACGCCCCTCGAGGATCAACCGGTCTGGATGAAAGACAACCGGGAGCGGTCGTTGAAAATGTCGGGTCGGGAGAAGCTGGAGAAGGAGGTGGATATTCTGGAGGAGTTTTGGCGCTGGAAGCCGGAAGGAACCAAAGATGAATTTCTGGACTGGAAGGTGAGGTTTTCTTTGTTTTGTTTCCAGAAAAGCTGCGTATGCTTTCAAACGTTTTTATTAATTCTGTCAGTAAGAGGATGCTTGATATTCACATACAGTGGAATGAATCTGTCTGCTGAAGAGTATAGACCTATAAATGTTGATTTCATTGTTACATTTTCGCTTTGAAATATAATGCCGTCGTTATTGCTGTTTTTCTCTGCTGTTTTCTAAACAACTTTAAAATCGCAGTTCGACTCAGACCTGTACGTTTTTTTCCCGGTCTTTGTATTAACTTCAAGAGTAATTAATTCTGGTCCCTGTATCATGGTTAAAATTAAATTATTCTGGTTTTTATGGTATTTTTAATAATAATTAATTCTGGTCCTTATATTAATTTTTTTAGATTTATTTGTAGTCTTTATGTTATCCTGAGGTTTAATTAATTCAAGTCTTTGTAAAATCATTTTTTAAACTTCTGATTTCTGGCAAGTTTTCGTTGGCTTTTGCAGACGGCCGTGGATAATTTTGTCGTGACCCGGAGGATTGACTTTTCGGATCGGCAGGAGTACGCTGCGTACTGGGACAGTCTGGTTGTGGAACTCTCTCGTCAAGAGAAAGGCACTGTGGAATCCTTGCCGCCGATGCGCAACCTGGAAATCAAATGGATGAGCGCCTACGATATTGAAGTAAAAGTCCCGCAGGGTATCTTCACGGAATTCCTGGAGATCGGGCGTCCCATGGAAGTTTCCTGGATGATCCTGAAGGACGGCGAAGAGTACTCCATGTGGCAGCGCGATGCGACGATTTCCGCCCTCCGCCAGCTAGACACCGAGCATGTCGTCGTGGTGCACTGCCTGTCGGCCGTCAACCCGGGTCATCATCGTGTCAGCCGCGAACTACGCTTCCGCATGGTGTATAACGATGTGAATTATTGGCGGATGAACCAGGCGCTGTATAAACTGGAACACGATCCCAGCTGCGTCTTCCAACAGGTAAGGTTCGAATTCAAGCGGCTTTGAGCCGCTTTTGAAATGAAATCAATTTGAAAAAAAACAAGTTATTAAAGATTTATTTTTCGAATATTTACTGTCTGTAAACTCAGATATTTAATGAAATATTATTACGGTTACCGGGTTACGGTAGTCTCGTTATCTTCGACAGTCATTGAATCGTTACTAGTACTGAAGTTAATACGTTTTTATTGAAAAAATATTTTATGACATTTAAACTAGGCAAAAATTATAAATAAATCTAAAAATTATTTGAACGGAAATAAAATGTAACATTATTTGATGAAAATAAAAGCAGTTAATTTCACCTTGAATTACTGTATTCGCTCGCACATCTTGGACCACAGAGTGTGTGTACGGGAAAAACGCGCATTCAATATACACACTCTAACCGGGCCAAACGCGCGATTCGCGATTTGATAAATTTCTGATGTCTTACAACATCTGGACTGGAGAACTTCTTGAATAATGAAAAAAATTAGAGCTCTAACAATTTTTATCATGTTTAGGCTCGAAAGCAGCCATTAACATTCAGCTTTGGCGTAAGCACGAGTTACAAACGGATTTTGTTGTGGTTTTTGGGGTGCCCCTGGAGGGGGAGGGGTACGTTCCGCGTCAACATTCTTGATGGCGATGAACCACCGAACAATGCGAGCTTTCAGCTACAGAACCTTTTTTTTCCAGAGTGAATTGCCATTTAAATGAAAAGACTTGATTTAATAAACAAAAATTCACAAGAAGAACTGTTCATCTTGAAACCAAATGAGGAATATTTCGTAGTCGTGCATTTTGCCCGGTTAGAGTGTGTATATTAAATGCGTGTTTTTCCCGTACACGGACTCTGTGGTTCAAGATGTGCGAGCGGATACAGTAACTGCTTTTATATTATTGGCGCTGCGGATTTATGAGAAGGAAATGCACAGACTGTCTGCTGCACGTGCAATGTGAGCGAAAACAGTTTGGACGTTTTTCCATATTTTCTCGCCATCAGTTATTTTTTTTTAATACTTTCAATGGTTTGTGTTTCTTATTTTGATAACTATTCATGAGTAGTTTGTTCATATATTTGTGATATTATTATAGTAACAACCGCGCACAATTACTTTTTTGGTATTTTTTCCAGTAAATTCTTTCTTTTAAGAGCGAGTACTTATTTTTTATTTTTCTCGGGTGAATGCAGAGCGCCGGTCTGATGAGTTTGGAAAAAGTTGCTTTTCCTTACGTGTTCGTCGACGAAGCCGCTCAAGGAATGGAGCCGGAATGCTTGATTGCAATCACCCGGGCATGCGAAAAGGTTTTTATTGTCGAAAGAATTTTGCAGCGGACTGCTTTTCCATGTCGTGATTTTGTTGGTTGCAGTTGGTGTTGATCGGCGTTCCGGCTCAGCTGGGCGCCGTTGTTCGCTTTCCCAATCTGCAGAAATCCCATTTAACCACCTCGCTGTTCCAGCGCCTGTGGAAGGTGTGTCCGTGGATGATTCTGGTGCAGCAGTATCGCATGCACCCGGCTATCTCCAAAATGGTCTCGCAGATCACCTACGAAGACCAACTGGTCAATGACGAATGCGTTCGTAAGTCAATTTCGAATCGAAGAAAATTAATTTTTAAACAATTTTTACCAGCTGCACAGTGTTATTGGTTTTTAAACTGCCTGTTGGTATTTATTGAGTAAAACTTTTATTGTAAAATCGATAAATAATTTATTATAAAACTGGTTTATAATTTTCTTATAAAATATGTTTTAATTGTAGTAGTAATGTTAAAAATAACAGGATTTCTTTGTGGTTTACAGTGACACGAACGTCCGCGTCGGTGCTGTTGAACGACATGTTCGGTATGTTCGTGCCGCCACCCTATATTGTCCGCCACCATGAACTGCTCTTCGGATCGGACGGGTTGATCTATACACACGAGGGTATCATTCCGATGCTGTTTGTCAGTTTGGCGCGGAATGACGAGCTGTCCGGCAGTGGGACGTCGTTCGTCAACATGGCGGAAGCGCACTTCATCGCCCGCCTGGTGGCCAATATTCTCCACGAGGGCACCGTCTTCTTCATCCCGGGTCTGGAGAAACCCCGCCCGGAAGAGATCGGCATCATTACTTTTTATAACGGACAGCGTCCGCAGCTGGAAATCGAACTCAAATATTATCCGCAGGTCAACGAGCGGGTCAAGGTCAGTGTATACCGTCGACATTAGATTTATCCCGCTTTCTATCGAAATGTTGCGCTGCTGGGAGGAATACTTCGGTTTTTGGAATTACCGTCGAGTCGAATGCTTAACGGTTGTTAAGTGTATTGTGTCAAATTTGTAAATAATGAGTACATGCTTTCGTGGTCAGAGTTGAAGAGCTGTAGTATTTCTGTTAGTCATTCGGCTTAATTATGAAACTTGCGTTATGGCTGAATTCACCATCTTGATTCTTTGTTGCCAATTTTTCAATCGATTTTAAATTTATCAACTGGGTAATTTAAGAATTTTTTTTCTAACACTCTGCTTGATTTTAAATTTTGATAAATGTGTATTTCGGAAATTCTCCGATTATCAAATCAACATATTAGTCATCGATGCTGATGGTACTGTACTAACTAGTGAAAATTCTGCGGATTGTATTCGTTTTGACTGCGTTGCTATGAAGTTGATAAATTATATTTTCAAAATTGTGAAATAATTTTATTATGTATCATTTTGCGCTATGTGTAGGATATTGAGATCAGCAGTGTGGACGGGTTTCAAGGCCGCGAGAAGGACATTATCATTTTATCCTGCGTCCGCTCGGCCGACTCGTACCGCGGCCGGCGCACCCTGGGCTTCACGGATGACCCGCAGCGTCTGAACGTGGCCATGTCGCGCGCGCGCAAGGCGCTGATCGTCGTGGGCAGTCTGCATGTCTTCCAGTACTCCGACATGTGGCGCCAGTATTTCCGCTACATTCCCGCGGTCCAGGCCGACACCATGTGCCATTTGCTGCCGCTGCCCTGCAGCACCAAACCGCCCTGCAAGATCTGCCCGGATGATCACGGACTGCGCATCCAGCAGGCCATGGTCAATATGGGACAGTAGTGCCTTTTTTGTATTTGGTAACGCTGGTCGTTCATGCTGTATGTTGTGCTTTCACTGGAAATTAACTCCTGCTCAGACCGTTGTCGCGTTTCATGATTCTTGTGGGGATTTTTTTGGGTAGAGGGCCTTTTTTTACTGTGTTTTACGTCTTTTTTTATCGCGTTGCACCGCTTGATAACCAATTCGGCCATTTCATAACGCTGAAAAGGGTAAAGCATGCTGATTCACTGACTGCGTACTTTTAGTGGGAACTAATCAGCCCGAAATTGATTGAATCGATTTTTGTGTCAGCCGAAAGAAAACTACTAACGAAGCTTCCGTTGGCGTTTGCGTACTTAATTATTCGTATGAAACTATGAATCGAAACCCAAGTTGCGAGTTTTAACTGTTCAACACGCTTTAATGAAAAAATCTTAGAAGTTCATTCGTCAAATAATAGCTGCTATCAAACATCAGCTGAGCGTACTAAAAAGTTTGTTATTTATACACATTATGAATCCGCAATTTGTTGTTCGAAGCACTGGAAACAACTGTTTCCGGTGCGTTTGAAACTTTGAAAACCTACGGTAATTTCTCGGGCCGGGAAATTTGCGATGACCAGAGCGATCACAGCTAGTCGTGTTGAACGATATGAAGCTGCGTTGCAAATCAGGCAATCCATAGTAGTCATGTTGTGAAGCGAACAGACTCTATAATTTAATATGTTGGCGGTTTTTCTGATTGTCAATAACCTTAACCATGTAAATATAAATACAGCATACGAGTATTTGTATTATGATCTGACAATAAAAAGCATGACTGTTATGCAATAAGGACGAGTAAACGATAATAATTGCAGTAAGAAGTACTTCACACAACAGTCTGCTGCCGTGCTGCGTAGATGCACATAATTATTACGAGTAGATGTACATAATTACTGCGTAGATGAACATTATTCGTATAACGAACTATGAACGTATATTTATATATGCAGTCACGTTTGCATACACGTGTTCACTTCCGTCGCAGAGGCATTTCCTGTTGGTATTAATAGAGTAATCTTAACAAAATAATATTATTTTTACCGTAAGAGAGGTTATCGAAAGTACAGAGTACGCCTAGATTATGTTTTTAATTCAGCGGGCTGCACGTTTCTGGTGACCGGTAGTGTTTATAGCCTTATGCTTACTCATAAACGGATATGTACAAAACAGGACGTTATACTTATTCCAATCGAATCTTTCTGGCTCAACCGGTAGTATCGAACAGCTGGAAGCAGTGTGCAATTGCTGGAGTTTTGTGCAAAGTTAAAAATAATATGTACCGACATCGATTAATTATACTACTGTGGTCCATACTATTGCGCTTGCGCGACTGACAGCCGTAATTACGATTTACGGTCTGTCGTACGTCAGAATAATTCTGACGTACGACAGACCGTATAAAGTATAAACGCATATGCTGTACCGTATCTGATACTTTATCTACAAAACGATTCCTACCAATACTAATTTTCGGTCCGATTCCTACTCAAACTGTCTTCCACGTACCCATCGTTCATGGCTGCGAACCCGTGGAGGATGTTTGATGTCCGGCGGACAGTAATTGGTGGACGGCGGTCGGCTGCGCTATTCCCGCTGCGAGACTTGTTTGGGCAGCGCGTCGCAGTGATCAATGTGGCCAGACGTGACGAAGACATCGTCGCACATTAACGAACAGCAAATCAAAATTCATACAGTAATTGTAATCTGACGCACTGATATTTCCATGGTTTGCGAACTGGAACAGTGTGGTGGCGATTTGCATAAATAAACGAACCATTACAAATCAGAACCGAGTTGAAATAGAGCAAGCGGAAATTCATAATGCATGAAGCATTATCATTAGCATTTAACAGGAATATGCCAGTATAGTTTTTTGGTAATACAGTTTCGGTATCCAGTTTAGGCGGTTTTGGCAAGGAAATTTCTGCCGCCATAGCGTAAAGGCAGAAGTTAGTCGAAATGTATTACATTAAACAAAGGTAATTTTACTAATACTAATATGTAGTATAGAAGTAGTGTTTTTGAGACAAACCGCAACCCTCTTCACGACCGTCAACCGGTTTGCCACTGACCGACGTCAAATTTTCGCTACACAGGTCGCATGACGGCGATGATGCAAGGACAGTATACATATGTACAATGATGATGGATGATGCCACTGGCCAGTAATAGGCTTTTCGGATGTTTCAAATTAAAAAGGGTTTACGCAGTAATTTAACTTCTTTATTGGGTTGTGGAAAACACTTGCAGGGGGTTCCGGCAGGGACGCCGCATCGGTACAGAGGGATTAAATGGGCGCACCCACATTTGAGTCAAGCAAAAACACCAGTTTAATGAGCGAGCATTTTAGTACGCCCTACTCACGGAAGCCATAAACATCAATTTAACTAACGCTCATTATGCTCCGGAGCGGGAATAAGAGGACATAAGCGCACGGCGGCCGCGTTCACTTGTGCCTTTCCACGGCTTTTTGGCAAATCATGTCCGTTCTTTATCATCGACGGCGCAGGTTTCCTCTGCCGCTGCTCAGCAGCATGAGGCGATCGTGGAGGCGGTGCCGGTGCGTCTGTGCATCTTCGGAGTCGTAAGGAGTTGTAGGACACACACAGTAGCAACTGGGATATCCATTCTCAACAACCGTGCAGCCGTAACCGTGGCACGTGACGCCCTGGCAGGAAGAGCGCGTCGAATAGGGCGTGGTTGTTGTGGGATTGCGCAGATACAGACTAGCCGACACCGAATTGCCGAGAGATTATCCCGTGCCGTTGTCGGTGACCTGCGACTGGCCGAGCACAATGTGATGCTGACCGTCGCTGGTGCTGTTGGATCGGCTGTTCTGGTTGCTTTGCAGGACGCCGGTTATGAAACATCGAAGATTAGTAGGGCTCCGCCCCCACAGCCCCACAAACATCTTTTCTCTCAAAAATGACCTTAAATGACAGGGGAGGCTTTGACAAAGAAGTTTTGTGCTGCTCACAACGCGGTAAATTGCAGTTGAACGACGCCACAGATTTTGCAGTGGAAGAACATTTTTCCATGTCCGGTTTTTAAAATCCCTGTTTTTTTACTCACGAAAAATCTGACAACCCTCACTGATTTCAAGCTACAGATTTTTTGATCTGTAGTTCTGTCCGGTAGGAGTAAGAAAATTCTAATTTGAAGTTGTCCATGGCTCTGATGATTCTCCAACAAATTTTTGAGCGGGAAATCAGGTGGTATGTAGAAAATTCACCACTAATTTTGTTTTAAAATCTGTACAAAAAACAGTTTTACACCTTTTTTAAAGAAAAAAGCAGGATTCCCTGTAGAAATAAATTGTGAATCCTGTAGAAGACGAATGGTGAGAAGTTCAAAATGCAATTTTGAAACGAATTTATTGTGGAGTAGTATCAACTTGGCTTTACCGCATGTACTGTACTGAAATCTGTCTTTATTAATAATGAATGCACAAATCAGGTGGAAGAAAAATAAACAGAGTACATTATTCACAGCACCAAAACTTCATTTAAACTATCCACTCCGTCCATCGTGCCAAGGATAGATGCTGCATTTCCGCGCTGAATTTCCAGCGATAGCCGTTGACGCAGGAATTCGTGTGATCGACTCTCGCCCGTATGCTGCTGCAGTCTTTTGCCCAACTCTTTCACAATGGCAATAGCCGACGGGCCCCAGGGACCCATCGTCTCAAAGGCGATCGGAGAAAAAATATAGCGCCTTGCAGATAAGCATACAGTCGGGACTTCTTTTCTTCTGCTTGTACTGCAGCAGCACCAGCCGTGACCGACGTGGACTGAAGATGGGAAAGGGCCATTGAGTCGACGCAAGTCACATCCCAGGCCAGGCACATCCCTCTTTTCCAGGCAAAAGTTGTACAACCGTCTGGGCGTTGATCTGTTGTAGAGGATGTGCCGCGCGGCTCAAGCTTAGCCGGAACACCAGCTGACACACAAGCGCGGCATATAATACTATTTAGTCCTCCGTGGCGCGCATGTCTACCGGCTGAGTAGCTGCATGATAACCCGTGGTGTCCCAACTTGTCATCGCGTTTGTGGCATTTGGTGCAGTTATGCGGCTCACAGATATCGGCTCCAAGACGTAGGCCAATTGAAATTTTCATCGTTTCGTCGTCGAGGAGATTGCCGATGTGCGCTGAGGGAAGTGCGTTCAACCAAATGCCGGCTTCCGGTCTGGACTGTGCAAGAAGGCGGGCTGTGTTAATGCCGTCGTCGCGAAATAAGTCCAATAAAACCGAAACTGACACATTACAGAGCGGTAAGTCCCACGTTTTTTGTAGCTTTCGGAAGGCAACTTCTGGCATTTCTGATTGTCGGGCTTTGGATTTCCATGACTCAATTGCTTCAGAAGCGTCCACTGCCGGTAAGAGAGGAAGCATCGACGATAACAGACCCGATACGGAGTGAATCGAAGCCAAAAAGGCTGGAAGTGATAATTCCTCCGCTCGTCGTATGCCAATACCTCCTCGACTAACCGGTAGAGTCGCTTGTCGCCAACATGGGTAGTCGTCGTGGTTCACTCGAATGTTACTGAGTTATTGAAAACATGAACGTATAGACTCGTCGATTTGATATAGCAGATTCGGACTTTTCCAGGCATTGCAACATCTGAGAACATAAATTATTTTCGGGGCGCCCAAACAATATCTGAATAGATATAGTGCATGGTGGCGAGGAAGAAGTTGCAAGCGTTCACAGGCTGTCTTTATGGCACATGATTTCTCTGCAAGTGTGTCACCGATCGCATCGTCCAGAACCGGGGCGCCTAGCAGTGTTAAAGTGGAGCTGGACATCACACGGAGTTGTGGATGGTGCGAGACAAACGGCGTAGACAATCTCAACCTGAATAACGTGTTACAAACACTGAATTGTGCCGAAAAATACGAATTAGCATGGCTGGTTGGCACGTGTATTAGCTTTATCCTCGGTGCGATCGACACAGGCAACTGCGTGGAAATTCTTGAGAAGGTTGGGAGTTTTGTATCGGAATCAATGTTTTTTTGCTGGTTCAGTTTTTGCCTTCTGTAGGCCATTCGTTATCTACCCTCATCCCCGATGATCATGGAGGAATGTTTGTGTTTGATTGATGAATCAGCGGAAGTTGTCTGGCAGTCAGATCATTTCTTAGCCATTGGACAAGAGGCCTTACAGGTTATTCTTCAGCGAGAGACGTTAACGGCTGATGAGCACACCATCTATTCGTCGGTTGAAAAGTACGGAAGCAGCTGTCGAAACTACTCTTTATCATATAACAGGCAAACACTGAGCGAATGAATTTACGTGAAACTCCTAACCCGCTGAATTTTGTTCTTGACAGGTGGGCTACGAGCGCTTGCAGTCAGAGTTATATGGAACCTTCTGCAGTAAATCGGCGTGAAAAGCTGGGTCCGGCACTATATCATGTTCGATTCCCGCTTTTAACAAATGAACAGCTGATGGATGGCCCTGCTAAGGTACGCACTGCGCTTTTTATGAGCAAAGACCAGTGGTCGCTGTAGAGCAACATAGCCGATGCCTGGATGGGGTCCACCTAGTTTTCGTACTGATAACACGTAGCAGAATGTAAATTAATATCGAGTATCGGAATTGGGATATTGTAATCGAATCTGACGTAATGTGGTATATTGTAGACGGGTTTGTTGGTGCGTTCGGAGCTGTGTGACATCTTCAGCTACAAGCACTCCACAGACAAGCCATGTATTCCGTTCCGTACAATACCCCGACAAGGTTTCAAGAGCGCTACGAGTAGACGAGAAAGTACAGCATTTGTTGTAAAAACTGTTTGGTGTTTCCAGGACGTATTATTTACTTTTCGGTTCCCGATGTAAGGGTGCTGCAGGATACCACTACGTTCAGCGATCCCGTTACCGTCAGAAAGCTGCTTTGGTGAGGAGATTGCCATAACAACAGTCGAAACTAGAAATAACTGGGCAGAGGTTGTTGCCGAACTGTAGCTGACATGCATCGTACTGCAGGAAGATCGGGGTTGCCAAAAGAACTCGCTGTGAGTCTGCTAATATGGGCTTCTTCCTGCACTGTTTTGGCTATCCGAAATCGGCTTCCTGGAAGTGTCAAGTTAATGCACAGTTTTGCTTACTGCCATGGAAAACAGGAATTGCACCAATTAAAAAAGGTACTTGCAGGTATTATAAAAAAAGGCTTATACAGTTTTTGTAGCCTCTGTCCTCAGACACAACCGCAGTCGTCTTCTTTAAATATTGTAGATATTTTCCATCCATATGACCAGAAAAGTGACAGCTGGGGATACTTGTCATACATTTCTATGGAGGTGAGGGCTTTTCGCGTTGAAATCGTTGGTTGCCCATATTGCTCACGTTAGTTTGTACTTTTAGGAATTACTGGATCCAGCGAAAGGCTACGTCAACCCTACTGATTTCTCCCTAAAGCTGCAAATTCAGTTGGCTGTTGAACTTTCATCTGAATTCGACTGATGCATATTAGACGTTTGGATGTATGAGAAATAGTGACGCGCGCAAAAAAATCAAACATGTCTTCGAAAACGTTTTATTCACGTATATTTATTTGCCTTGCGCTTTTTAAAAGATCGTGTTCTTGTGTAGTTTTCAGTTTTTACCAATTTTTTAATGGATTTGATAACCTTATGAGCTTTTGAGATTATTATGTGAATTGAATGCTTTAATATGCGTGCCAAAAATACAACTGTCGCATTTGCTTTTTCAGTCAGCTGAGAATTCTAGATAGCGGGACTTTACCATTAACTGATACACCGAAGTATTTTTTTAAGAAGACAACACTTGTTTGTTGTAAATGTAGACAAGGCATGTATCCAATTAGAGGCTGGAATTTTAAAGGAGATACAAAGGAGAACGCACTTCGTATGCAGAGTGCGAGAATTTAACAAAGGGAATCGTTTTGTAGAGTACAAAAGGCACCGAATTCTGTCTTTATCATTAAACCTATGTACGGTATCATTCTGTGATCAATAAACCTAATTGCAGTGATCGAGTTTTTGCCGCGCAAGTGTTTTCTGCATGCAAAGATGCGTCTCCTGGAATCCAAACACGAACTGTATAAAAGGGCCTCATTTCTCGGTGCGCCCAATAGCTGAACTTGCTTTCGTTTTGCACAGCGTTACACGTATTACGAGCGGCACCCGATGCTGAAACACTTATCACACAATGACTGGGCGGCAATAAATGCGATCTTCTACTGTAGGTGGTCATCTACCAGATCAGCGCTTTGGGAGACGCTGTCGGATTCAAACCGTTAACTGAAGCACTTGATATTGTACAGCACACAAGCAGTGTCAGCCGACCGGTCGTCCTAACAGATGTACTTGATGAACCAATCTATTATGCAACTGTTTATTGCTCTACAGCCATGCCTGTATTATAGTTTGATGTTTTCTCCTGAAATCCTGACGGCGGGAGCGATTAGTGCGGCTTTCGGAAAACAGTAGCGCACTTACTTTTTCTATACTCTCACGAAAACCTCTAATGAGCACGAACCATTTTGAGAATATTATCGAGGAGCCTTAAGTTTTATGTTACCTTAATTTATGTTAGTTATTGTGTATATGCTTCGTTTCTATAAAAATGACGAGAAAAGACAATGATTATCCTAAGAGTATTTTTTGCGTCCCGATAACTCTGCTCCGAGCCTGTGGCTTTATTCCATTGCGATCAACGGATAGAAATCCCAAGCGCCACGCACTGGACATTTTTCTACGAGCAGTGGCCGCTTGCATCTGTCTCTGCTCGTGGTTTTTCCTGGTAACCGCCGCTGATTCGTCGCTTGCGGAATTTTCTCGCGCTAACAAATCACTGTTCCCAACCAACAATCCAGTTATCAGAGCAATGTTGATCGCCACCGCCTGTGTATTTAGCTGCCGCGCTGCGTTTGTGCTGACCACAGTGTCGATCAAACGCGGCGCGTGGATGGAACTCTTCCATAGGTTAAATCACGCTATCAAATTATATTTGGAGATGTATAACACACCCAAGCGAAAAATTCTGCGACTGAAATTTGCGACGCTTGGGATTGTTGTGACCTTTATTGTGCTGCTTTGCATCTGGTTGTACTTGCATGTGATGGGAGCCAAAACCAGTCTCGGCAAACAGCACAATCTCCATGATTTTCAAATTGTCGGTTCTTTGGGCATTAAAGTGTATTATTGGCAGTTGTCGCTTCTTTGGCTGTCTTGTGGCGTGCTACCATTTATTTTGACGCAGTTGATATTTTCTGTTATCACTGTTGCGGCTCTTGTACAAGATACAATGCTGCATAAGATAAATTCGGAAATCGAGAATAATGTGGAACGAGTTCGGAAGATTTCCGAAAGTGAGGACGCTGTGACAATTAATGGGAGTATTTTCAAAGAAATTGATGAAAACGTTAGTCGCGCCAGACGGCTATATAACGCCAATCTCCAGTTCTGTCATTATTTTAACAAGCACTTCTGCACGGTGCTGCTGTTTATTTATTTTGCGGACTGCTTCTGTATGTGCGGTAACGTCGGCTTGTTGGTAGCCAGCTTCTCGCACAGTGAAGCACAGCTGGGGACAACTGTTATGCGGTGGAGTACTGTCTACGGGGTATTTATGTTCATGACCGGCATCGTTGTGTGCTTCGTTCCCATGGCATACGTTTATGAACAGGTTAGTAAAACTTCTTTCAAAATTTTTGTAAAAAAATTCATATATTTTGATGTCCAAACAGTTCTTGCTTAAGACAAATTGATTTTTTTTGAGTGACGTAGGCGAAAAATATTGCCAACAACTACGAGAATCTTGTCGGTCTTATGGAAATTGTGGAGCAAGAGCACGCGGAGTGTTGCCGGTCAGAGGTAGGGCTAGCTGGGATTACGCTTTGAGATCTGTCGCGTAATCACCGGACAACTTTAACAGAGCCACTCCAATCAATTATTAATCCGTCAAAATTAACCTGAAATAATAAATACACTGGGCGAGGCCATGCCTATTATAATTATGTCAGTACGTATCAGCTGTTTGCAATTTCTTTAGATAGTGGCGCAACCAAGCTCCATCCAGCCAGTATTCCTCAGGGAAATGTTCTACGGCGTAGGCCATTTGTTTCACATCAGCGGAAAATTCATTGTTACGGTAAGCAACAACGGATCATATTAATTACAAAACACACATTGCTGTTATTTGGTTCTCTTTAACCTGCTAATATACTGTACGTGCATGTAATTGTCATTATGACCGTTGCAGACGATAACATTTGTGATTTCGTTTGTGGTTCTGGCATTCGAAATTATCGACCTTTCGGAATTGAAGGATCGTGTAGCGGAAGTCAAGACACTTCTTCTCAATGGCACACACGAGTGCAATCGTTAGAAAACAGTTACCGTGTTCAACCTAGAACCAGCTGAAATGCAATGACTTACAGAGTTGAGTCGTTTTACGAGGTACAAAACCCATTACTGTTTTTTCTAGATTTATGCTCGTCTAAATTATTTTATTAAATTGTTATCCCAGATCCTTGAGAACTATGACCTTGGCTTTACTGTATCTATTTAAATAGCGATAGCTACAGGGATAAATTCATGGTTAAAATCTGGAAAGCACTAGTGTGATTATTTTGCATTTGTATAATAAATGCGCCAAATTGAAGTTGCTTTGGTGATTGAATCAGCAAATCTGGAGCGGTGTGGATGTTGTTTAGTAATGCTCAGTATTCGTGTTATGATGCGGAGATCAGGAAACAATTCCGAAGAAACATATCAGTACCATTTGCCTAATTTTTTATAACAAAATTCGTTAAATGTTCGAGATGTAAAATTAATTCGATCCTAATACGTACCGGTTCGATGTTCGATATACTCTGGTATACCCACGGGCACGATACAATTACATTTTTGCCTCGACATTATTTTTTCACGCACTTAGGGTGAATTTTCGATCAGCATCCTTTTGGAAAAGGCAATATCAAGTGGAAGCATTTTACTACTAGTCTGCAGCACTGTAGACTTAATGCTATATCGATACATCCCAAGGTCATTAAGCCGCGTCAGCTGGTTTGTCATTATTATAGCAGCGGTATGAATTTTATGAAAGAATCCCAGTATCTAACTGCTTATTGACATAACCGTTCCGATGGCGCCCGTACAAATTCTCGCTTCTAAATGACTATGGTCGCGCAGATTCTGCCCACATATCCTATCCTTTTTGCTTCGCAACTCTCTTGCTACAGCTACAGATTTACGTTAAATTTCAAATCTTCTCATAGCGAGTGCTCCGCATATGCTGGCTGGTATCAGTAGTTGTATTCCTATAAATGTGTTTATACGTGGAAGAGTGACAACGGAATTTTTTATGATTCCTTCCACGATCTTACAACTTATGGCTGCAAGCAGAAGCAATAATTATGCTGAAGCAATCTTCTGCGTTCCACTATTGTTACTTCGGGCATGCGGCTTTCTTCCCATACGATCGGTGAGCAGAAACATCATATATCGTGCGTTAGATATCTTCCTCCGTATCGTGGCTGCAGTTATCTGTGCCGGATCTTGGTTTTTCGAAGTAGCCACCATCGATTCCTCCCTTCCGGAATTTCATCGGGTCAACAAATCGCTGTTCCCCACCAACAATCCAGTTATCAAAGTGCTGATGATCGCTACAGCGTGTGTCATTAGTTTACGCGCCCCATTGGTACTGACGGTGGTACTTCTTAAACGTAGCGCTTGGAACGAACTATTCCACCGGTTAAATACGGCGGTCAAACTGTACGTGGAACTACACGGAATCCCCAAGCGGAAAATTCTCCGCATACGATTCACGACGGTTACTCTGGTCGTAATCTTTGCTGCGTTATTGGCTACATGGTTATACGTGCACATAAATGGCGCTTTAATGACGCAGGGCAAAACCAGCCTGCAAGAGTTTCGGTTTGTAGGATCATTAGGGAGCAGAGTGTCCTATTGGCAACTGAGTATAATTTGGATATTCTGTGGAATCTTACCTTTTCTGCTGACACAACTGGTGTTTACCATCGTTATTATTGCGGCTATCATACAAGATAATATGCTGAAAAATATAAGCGCTGCATTCGAAAATGGCGTGGCAATGGTGCAGACGGTTATTGAGAACGAGGATGCTCTTACAGTTGATGGGAATATTTTCAAAGGAATTGATGAAGATCTCAGCCGTGCCAGACGGCTCTACAATGCAAATCTACAGTTCTGTCATTATTTCAATAAACACTTCTCCACGGTTTTGCTGTTTATTTACGCTGTTGACTGTTTCTCTGTGTGCGGCAATGTCGGAATGCTAGTAGCCGGATTCTCCCACAGCGAAGCGCAGTTGGGAACAGCGGCTGCACGCTGGAGTATTGCATACGGCATTTGTATGTTCTTGTTCGAAATCGTTTTCTGTTTCATTCCTATGGCATATGTTTATGAGAAGGTACGTAGCTTAAAGGAAAAGAATTCGGTTTATCCATAACAGTATTGTTCACGGCAATCTAGTTGATACTTCTATGATATACAGAGTCTAGTCATCGCTCATAATTACGAGGACATGATCAACTTAATGGAGGTTTTGGAACAAGAGCATGCTGAATATTTCCGATCAGAGGTAAACTTAAATCGGTTCAGACTTTAACTTGGATTATCTGCTTCTAATTGTCTGTAGATTCTGTCCCAATCACGCTGCACCCAACCAGTGTTCCGAAGGGAAATATTTTATGGTGTGGGCCACTTGTTTCACATTAGCGGAAAGTTCATCGTTACGGTAACTGCACCAGTTCTACAGTACGACATGCTCTACTTTTATCTGAACCACATTTCTCACTTTGCCTTGGTTTATAGACGTTGACGTTTGTAATTTCCTTTGTTGTCTTGGCATTTGAAATTATCGACCTGTCGGAGTTGAAGGACCGAGTTACGGAAGTGAAGATGCTGCTGTTAAATCACACAGACAGTCATAAGATTTGCTGAGAGAACTGCTTTTATGGAAGAATCTGGGAAGTCGTTTGGCCGAATGGCTCCAACAAACATGCATTCATGTACATTGCATGGTTTCTTTCAAACTGCTGCAAATTTATACTAACTGTGGTACGCTGTCTTGGTGTTTTTTCTGAGGTGTCAGCAAACACGGGCTATTTAGCTTTTGTTAACATGTTTATCATTACATAATGAGCACTCAGAAGGGAAACCTTGGACCTGTTTTTGTGTGTACCCACTCTAATATTATGGAATTATTCGTGCAAACAGTTAATAAATGGGGACTTTTCTGGTGGCCTTTCTGTACTGTGTATTCTTTTCCCTTCATAATAAATCTAGAACCTTTTAAAAACCCGCGTAAATGAAAACGGAAAGCTCAAAGAATGCCGGACGCGCTTATATACGTAAATGGAAAAGATACTGCGAGTTTTATCAACGGAAAGCGTAGCATCTGGCGGCTTTGACAGGATCTTACAATTAGGAGAAGGCTGTATGCCACGAAGACGTAGCCGCAATTTCTACATCCGGTTGCAACAAACAATGTAGGCCAATCGCGATCTAACGCCTGTAACCTTTCCATTGTAAAGAATCCATTAGATACTTATAATTACCTGTTACAGCTCACCAGACATCAAACACATAATGAAGTTAATTTCGTCCCAAGATTTGTAGTACGCGTCACCAATGTGTGCTGATTCCTTCTAGTATGGTGGTCTTCTTCGATGGAATAAAACTTATAAAAGCGTTTAACTTTGACGAGGCCTGCACTTTCCATGTCGTATTATTCCTATAATTACCTGTGTGCCAGCATTGAAAGTAGTAGGATTATTTAATATCGTGCGCCGGACAGATTCAAGCTTATTCATAAATGGTTTTGGTTATGTTTACAGTATAATGGCCAATTCAACTTCGCAAGCGTCTGGTAATGGTTCCTTTCCCGGCAATATCATTCCTTTCCAACTTCCGAACACCACAGTGGTCGGTTGGTCGTTTGTCCCGGTTGCTCTTTGCAGCATTATCGCTAACCTCGCCCTGATAACTGTCTACTGCAAAACACCCAGTCTGCGCACTCCGTTCGGTATTTACGTGGTCAGTTTAGCCACGGTGGACGCTTTGCAATCGTGCATCTTATCGCTGAACAACATCGCCACGTTTCTCCAAATTGCATGGCCATACGGAGCCTTCTACTGTTCCTTGGTGATGTATCTTGGCTGGGTGCTGATCGGGCTGTCCAATTATATCCACCTGCTGATTACCTTGAACCGATTATGGGCGGTCACGTTTCCCAACAGTTACCGCACTCGGCACAACAAGACTTTCGCTTGTGCCGCAATTATCGTGGCCTTCGCTTTCATTCAGGTTTTGGTGTTGCCGGGAAGCGTTGTGTACGAAGTACGGTTTGGCCGCTATCGGCCGCCATATTTGTGTGCTTTTGACTTTCGGCAGATGATGACGTGGGGAATTGTTGCTTCGACCGTACTGAATACATTCCCGAACGTGGCGATAATGGTCCTGTATCCCATTGTGTATTACAAAGTGCACAGTCGGGTGCAGGATTCTAAGGTAGTTCTCCCGCTAAATCGTACAAATTTCCCCAACTCTAACGCACCTTCTACAAAATCTACCGGTAAATTGAAAAGTTCCAATAACTTAATTGCTATTTATTTAGTTCGTTTTATTTATTTAGTTCGTTTGAATACATAGGTATTTCCGGTACATTGCCATCCTGGGGAAACGCTAACAGCGCGGAGATCGCGGGAGGGAACAAAACAAACCATGATGTTGCAAAACTTCCCGCCGGCCGACGACAGTACAACGGTCGCCGGCATTTTGCCATTCTCACAGCACTGGTCATCAGTGCGGTATTCTGCTGGACACCGATTAACGTGGTGTACACCCTGATGCTGTTCGATATCTTCAACTTGAAGGCGCTGGCAGCCACAACATTGATCTTCTTCCTGGACACACTACTGAATCCGCTGATGTATCCGCTAGCGTCACAGGAGTGGCGGGACGCCTTTAAGCGACTGTTACGCTGATATCGAGCGGTTAATTGAGGTTAACCGGTAGCGAGATATCAACTACCCTTGTGACCTATGATTAGAGCTACACCATTATTACAACCTGGATATCCTCAACAGTTAAAAATACACACACTAAACTCACTCGCGCTGACTCTGTTCGTCAAAGAATAATACTGATATGCTGTTACAATTTGTTTGGATATGGCATATGCTTGTAATTGTATGACTATATACTGCGTGTGTTACCAGTGTATGTGATGTGTTTTGCAAATTACATTTTGTATTTTCGCATAAAATTGATGTATGTTGTGACTGTTTTCTGCCATGCAGTATACCTCAAGTTTAATTGTTCTTGCTTGTAAGAGAATGCGCTGATGAAATACGGAAGTGGTAGCGAATGGTGTTACGATGTTTTCGAAGGGTTTCACAACCTCCGTGCTGTACAAATGTGTCAAGTCACAGGTTCAGCGAAAACAAGACAGTTCACCGACTTTGCATCATGCAAGCAATACAGCCCCTCGGCCATAGTCTAAAACGGTTGCATGAAATTCAAAACAATACGACATATAGAGGTTAATACCTAAAAGCATGCATTAGCGTGCAAACGTCGGAATTTTGCTACGTGGTTGTTTTCAACTATAAAGAGCTTCTAAACGACTATAAAGAGCTTCTTCTTCGAGCCCCTAAACAATACATTGTGTGCCATGGAGAAAATTATAACGCTGACTCGTCAGTAAAACAATGGCATCTAAAATTGTCAGTGCAGCGTAAAAATTTTTATGTCATCCCACGTCAGCAGCACTGTTTCTGTGCTCCTGGACCTGTTGCAATTTGCAAGGATCATGACACAAAAGATGTTTTGCCGTTCTATTGTAAAATTCCATTAAGTAATTCGTCATGCAACCACTCCAGAAAATTCCGTGAAACGGAAATTTTTAAAATATTCTTCCATCGAATGCAAAACAGCCTTAAAAGAGAGACACATCAGTATAATGGACGTCAAAATTGATTACGCAAAGCCGGTTCGAATATTTTGTACTCAATTTTGACGTTTATTTTACGGTCACTAATTACTTGAAGATTCCAACGCGTAGCGTGTCGATAAAAGCCTTGTCAGGATAGCATGCTGACATCAGACTGGCTTTTTAGGATAGCATGATAGCGATAAAATGAATACTTCAATTTCAGCCGTACCGGGCAATTATTCTGTTAATGTGAGCCATGTTTTCCGCCTCCCGAATACCATACCGGTCGGTTGGCTAATCGTCCCGGTCGCGCTCTGCAGCATAATCGCTAATGCGACTTTGATAACGGTATACTGCAAAACGCCTAGTCTTCGCACACCCTTCGGGATTTACGTTATCAGCTTAGCGGTGGTGGATACTGTACACTCTTGTACCCTTTCTCTGAATAACATTGCCAACTTTCTACAGATTCCATGGCCGTATGGAACCTTTTACTGCTCCCTTGTTCTTTATTTAGGCTGGGTGGTAATTGGGATGACAATGTACATCCATCTGCTAATTACACTCAACCGGTTGTGGGCGGTGACCTTTCCTAATAGTTATCGTATTCGCCACAATAAAACGTTTGCCTGCTGCGCTGTTCTCGGTGTATTTACTTTTATTCAGATTATGGTCCTGCCGGGAACAATTGTGTATGAACTGAGTTTTGGTCAATTTCGTCCGTCCTACGTGTGTATCTATGATTTTCACTTGATGATGGCCTTTGGTGTGACGACTTCGTTGATACTGAATACACTACCGAATGTTCTAATCATTATTGTGTACCCCATTATTTATTTTAAAGTCCGCAGTCGTGTGCAGGATGTTAAAGTTACCATGCCTCTTACTCGAACCAATGTTTCCAACTCAAATGTGACCCGAGGTAAAAATGTTTAAATCTTAACTTAATTATCTCCTTACTGACGTTTCTAATACATAGGTCGGTTAGGCCTTAATAATCGCCATATTATCTGGCGAAGTTTATCTCCACTACCGAAAATAAAGGCAATCTAGGTTCCAATATTAGCTTGCTTCTCTTCAGTTAATAGCGATTTACACGCGTTTAGGCGTTTCCGATGGACAGTCGCTTTCTGCGACCGGCACAACTGTAGAAGCTTCAGCAGTCAACATCGATGGATCCCGATGGCAATATAAGAAGGAAAAAAGAGAGGGGGCCAGAAGAGAGTACAACGCGCGGCGACATTTTGCTATCTTAACCGCGTTGGTGATCAGTGCGGTCTTCTGCTGGACGCCGGTCAATGTGGTATACACGATGATGCTGTTCGACATATTCAACTTGGAAGCCTTGGCTGCTACCAGTTTTATCTTCTTTTTCGATACATTGTTAAACCCTCTGCTGTACCCTCTTGCATCTCACGAATGGCGCGAGGCCTTTAAAAATTTATTCACTTGAGTTCGTGCTAACTTTCCCCGGCACAGGGTAACGTTCTATAAAGTACAAAGGTTGTCGAAAAGTACAGATGCCCGGAAACTCACAATACTTATCCTTTTTTTCACTGATCATGCTTCAACTTAAAATGGACTGGTGGATTTTAGCATCCTATAAATTATTATGCACACCATTGTTACAAGGGATCACCGGTCATTAAGTAAGCTTTTCTCACGTCATGCTATCTCATTGTCGGTCTTGAATGAAAGAGAATCTGGCCGTGATCCGCTTTGTAGATACCCTGTCATCGGGTGTGACGTATCAAGATCAACAACTACGGTAATAAAATTTTTAGTAAAAACAGAACAACAAAAGCAATGGCAGGAGTGGTCACAGACGAAGATAAAGCGGTAAATGCCAAAACGGAACGCCGAAACCAAAGTGGCCAACCCTGCAGATCATATAATATTTATATGATACAGTTAATGGACTGCTTAGTATTTACATACCGGCTGCACAGAAATCGGGCGCTCAACGTTGTATAAATTTGACGTAACGATGTCTATTATCCTTGGTGTTGCGGCCAAATAAAAGGCCATTTGCAGAAAAGCCGTGGCGTGGAAGCACAAGAACTATTATTAAACTCTGGATCGTCGATGGTAAGAGATGTGAACGCCCTAAAATTTTGCCACAAGTAATATAAATGTTTGTACTTTTGGATACCATAACCTAATATCCGTGTACACAACGCACAGGTATATGTTGCTGAAGAGCATTGCAAGCCTTCCCCAAAAACGCCTTCTGGCTCTTTGGTTAGATTTGCCAGCTGGAATAGTTTGATAACCCTGACCATGGATGCGCAGATTTCTCTTATCTCAAGCTTCATTTTGAATGTAATAATTGGATGGAACAGTTGCCGTGGTGCCGTGAAAGCGTAAGCTAACGCCGAATATCTACGTGCGGTTTTCCTTTTTTGCTCACAATACTTAATACGATTTGATTCAAATTTAACAAACTGGTAAATTTTCGTATAAAGTCTTGTATCGCAGAAGAAAACTCGACCTGACCAATGGAAGGACGTTTGGTACGGCGTCACCATATTTTCCGCTGGATTATCCGAATAACTATTTCTCCTCTATGCTGTTTACTGTCACGCCTGCCGCTAATGTCACCGTAAGACACTTATTAATTCACTGCCTGATGTTCCCTGGTATTTAAAACTCTTACGCTCGAGCTTAAAACTTATGATATTTGTTTGGCCCCTGTAGGATCATGCTAATTTAATTCAATTTAATTTGCTTGTTTATCTAATTTCCTAGTTCCAGTCCCATGCCTTCGACTTGGAGAATAGTTTTAACTGCCAGTTTGATTACTTCAGTATAAACAATCAGCGTTTCTGTGGCACCAAAGGTCCCGAAAATTATACAGTAACCGTCAACTCTGGTCAACTGGTAAGTCAGGGAGACCATTTTGGTCTTCTACAGAACCCTGTAGAGTCCGTTATCATCTTTCATCACGGCACACGAGTATGTACTCTGTACACAGGATATTCGCTTTGTTACGGACCATTCCGTCACCCGCACCGGTTTGTTGTGATTTTTCGGCAGGAGACACGAAGTATAAGCTTAGAACATTTTCTCCGTATCACCCACCGCTCTAAACTTAACGCTTTAGCCGCCATTAACACTGTTACCACCCTGACCACGCCGACAACCACCACACCCTTTCCCACCACCACACAGGCTACACCGGCAGGCTTTACCAACATGACCACGCCACCGAATTCGTCTCCGACTCCGGTCTGCACTAACTGCGACAGTGCTCCCCAGTGTGGAGTTCCCGCAGTGCCTCCAAAACTCACTGCCCGCGTTGTGGGAGGGGTGCCGGCTGTCCCGCACAGCTGGCCCTGGCAGGTCTCCTTTGGTAGAATGCCATGGTGCGGTGGCAACTTGGTAAGGCGCTTTGACGTCTGTCGGAACGTTACTTTAGTGTTGGACTAATAGTAAACGTCATTCATCACAGATAAGCAGCAGGTGGGTACTCACAGCTGCCCACTGCTGCAGAAATGAGAACGCCAGTGCCGTTGTAGTCGTTCTGGGAGCGCACGACTTTGGACAGCCCGAACCGGATCGCATTGTGCGGCAGGTCAAACGTTTGATAATCCATCCACATTACCATTCCAACAGCAACGATTTCTGTTTGGTCGAGTTAGCCCTGGTAAGCGCCACAATGTCCACAACACAGCTGAATTTTTTGGAAAAGAAAGTTAGCTTAAGGTTTAAGGTTTTTTGTAGCCAGTAGAACGTACTTCTGCCCTTATACCGGTATGTCTTCCAACGGAATCCGATCCCCCGACGGGAACAAGGTGCTACGTCACCGGCTGGGGAGACATGCAAGAAGATCCCAGTGGACACGGACAGGGGCCGCCTACGCTCCTGGAACAGCAAGAGGACGTCGCAGATGAAATTAGTATTCGCGCTACAAGATTTAGTAAGCGCGCAACCAGTGAATTTGTCCTAATGCAGACCGATGTCAGTATCGTCGATCAGTCCGTTTGTAATGTTTCCTATTACGGAAGAATCGATTCCACGATGATATGTGCTGCCGGTCCGGGAAAAGATACGTAAGTTTATTCCGTTTTATCTTCTGAGCTACCGACCCTTACGAATCACCGTAAAACTTTGGATGAATATGAAGTAAATGCCGATATTTCATAGGTGTCAGAGAGATAGCGGTGGTCCGCTAGTCTGTCAGCGTGCAGGAAGCCCAGCCTTTGTCCTTTTTGGAGTGACTTCATTTGGAAAGTAAGCTGTCGTTAACATTGAAGCGAACCTTAATTGAATTTAAGTTATTCGTATTACGTTCCGGCAATGATTTCTATCGGTATTGTAATCAGCCTACCCTACCGTCAATATCCAGCTGCAAACACTACGAATGGTCACTGCTGTTTCGGACATCATCGCAACGTCCTGCTAAAAAATTATCTTTTGCAAATATAGCTTATGGATTAGGTGGTCGCTACAGACACAGTATACGTTCAAGCAAACAATTTTCGGCAAATCGCCCTTGTTGCAGTGGATGTGCCCGGCCCGGATATCCTGGCGTCTACGGAAGAGTCAGCCAGGCTGTATCATGGATTCGCGGCATCGTTGGAAGCTTTGCCTGACAAAGATCCATCACAACCGAAAACCGGCAGACAACACTTAATGTTAAATAAATGGAAGCTACCGTGGTTGCAATACCGTCGGCTGTCAATTTGTCATCGATGTTAATGTTTTAAATTTTATACGTATATTACGAATTACGGAGTCAGCTTGTTCGCTTATTTTTAAATTCGAAATTTATGCATGGTGCCAGGCGGCGATATATATAGAGACGTTGCAGATATGGTTTGATCATATGATTCTGCTACACAAGTTCTCTAACTATTTACTGTATTTTCTGCGTATTAAAGCACCAGAATTGCCGTCATTAATTAATAATTATAAATGAACAATTTGCGAATTACAGTACGTATTTACAGCTGTATTATTTAATAATTTTTGTGTGCATAACGGGCTGTGAAGAGTCAAATGTTTTGCGATAGATATTAGCGTCATGCTGGAAAATCGTGTAAACAGAACATTTTGTGGAACACTTGTTAATCAAGCCAGGAATATTCTGACTCCAGAACTGAATTTAGCCAATACCGGTGGTTCCATACGCGCATAAACAGCGAGAGATGGAAGAATCACTGACCGCTTTCGTTGCATGGGCAACCGCTCGCGCGGTGGCAAGCGTATTATACTATCTAAAAAGTCGATCCTGGTGATCATAAGAGTGCAATGCTATGTTATTGTGCAGCAGTGGCGTTTTAAGCAATTTTATTGCTGATTTTACTGGCATTGCACCATTTGTGGACCCTCCGGTTGTCGAGCGACAACGTAACAGAAGCACGCGTGCGGTGGCCCATGCCACAGGCTGTTTTAACGTAAATCTTTGAAAATTCATAACTTTGTTCATTCCTCCATTAAATTTTTATGCATAGTCTTGAAAAATGCAGAATAATACACAGTATCAGGCAAAATAAATGCTTTTAATTTTTCTTTCAGGATTGTGCGCTGTTAGCCTGCGCGGCTAGCATAGCCGCCTATGGAGGATTTCCATAGGCGGCTATGTTAACCGCAGGGAGCTCATACTGCATTACCTAAAGAAGAAACAGAAAACATTTATTTTGCCTAATACTATGTGTTATTCTGCATTCTAAGACATACATAAATTTAATGCGATGAACAAAGTTATAATTTTCAGATTTACTAAACCAACGCATTCTGGAGAATCCTAATTCGTTAAATCAACAATAAAAACAAAAACGCCACTGCTACCTAATAACATTACACTCATCATAACTGTGCGTTCAATCTTTTTCGTGCTAGAGTGCACTGCTTGCTCGGCCCTTTTATAACGTACCATCCAGTACGAGTCCTGTTGTTATACTAATTCAATTTATTTGTGTGTATCTTCACGGTGAGTGAGCATGGCTTTACAAACTTTGAACGGTAAAAACGATTCTTACTGCTTGCAGAGGCAACTACATTAGTGTGGAGGAGTGTGCCGGTGGGCAGTGTTTACCTATACACGGTGCACTTCCGGATATGCGGCGCGCAGTAAACTAAATTCAATGTTATAAAACTTGAAATAACTGTATCCATTAGTCCATTACTGACCGTTAACCTTATATTATTGTGACGTAACAAATGGTCTTTGTTAGAAATAAGGTGGCAGGTAAACAGTAGAACACCGTGTTGTGGCATCGCCCTGTTTTTGTCTGTATTTATTTATTTTCCCGCCAGCGAGGAATGCTCCAATGTAAAGCCCGTAAAAGTCGGCGCTGAATGTATGCATTACATTTTCTTGAATGACTCAAAGCCGTAGATAGAGCATTAAACTGCAGAATGCGAGATTACGACTTTAATGTGGAATTATATAAACACCACATCGGCTTCGTCAAAGAATGCCAACCGTTTACCGCTCGTTTGCTCCGTATTATTTGTGGGTATCGTTATATAAGCCGCGCAGCTGTGGATTTCCGAAGAGTTCCACATTCTTAATTTTCAAAATAACATTTTTTTCCGCTTGAGGATTCCCTCTGTCAGCGGGTGTACTGGCTGCACAATGACCGCCCAAATTACTGCAATAGTAAAATGTACTTTTATTTTTGTTATCGGATGGAACAGCTTCACTGCAGCCCAGAAAGTGTAAGCCACTCTGTAATTACAATGTATTAAAAATATGGATATTGTCAGTTTTACGTTATCAGATACGACAAAGACGTCTTTCATTACGTTATGTCTAGAAATAAGTGATCAGAAACTGCTCGCTTGTAGAGCCAGAATTGATATCACAAATGGGGCACCGCTCACTATGAGGTCACCATCATTTCCGTGGAATTATCCCAATAATTATAACTATGTTCTGTTTATTACCGCGACTCCCGGCGCCAAAGCCATAGTAAGCATTTCCGTGCTGCTCACAACCGTTAACATTAAATCTGGATTCGTGCGGCATTAGCATTAACGCTCTCCGAAATCATTTTAGTTTACCTCCAGTGCCTTCAGTTTGGAATATGTTGGCGACTGCCGCTATGATTACTTCAGCGTCAACGGGCAGAGATTCTGCGGCACCAACGGCCCGAAAAATAACATCGTAAACGTTGATTCCAGTAGCCAGATTGTAAGTCAACACGAGCATTTATTGCTTTTAACAAATAGAGCAACCGATAGCAATGGCGTGTACACAGATTGTCCGCTTTGTTACGGACGGGTCCGTAACCAGCAGCGGTTTCTCCGTGACCTTTTGGCAAGAAGTTCCAGGTACCCCGTTAACGGTGATTTTCGGTACCTGGTGATTTAAATGTTGAGAGTCCTTGCTGCAGCGCTCACGTCGACGACGACCCCGTCTCCGACTCCAGTATGTACGAGCAACTGCGACGGCTCTCCTCAGTGTGGAATTCCGCAGGTTCCACCTAGGCTGACCGGCCGCATTGTGGGAGGAACGCCGGCTCTTGCTCACAGCTGGCCTTGGCAAATTTTCTTTAATGTCGTTGGGACGAGTTTTTGCGGTGGCAGCTTGGTATGATTAATAGTAACTGAACCGTAACTTATGAGTTTTGTATGCGAATTGATTATTAATAACTGGCATCCGTTACAGATAAGCAGTAACTGGGTGCTGACAGCCGCACACTGCTGCAAAAACAAGAATGCTGCTTCCATCAATATTTATTTGGGTGCTCAAGACATTTCCCAACCCGAACCGGATCGGATCATGCGACAAGTCAAACGTCTTGTAATCCATCCAAACTATGATTACGATTCTAACGCCAACGACTTTTGTTTAGCTGAATTAGTCCTGGTAAGTGGTACTGCGCTTAGTGAAATTTTATTTTAAAATTTATTTAAGCGCTCTACAAACAATCCCGTTTTCTTAGCCAGTGGAACGCAGCGCCGGCATTATACCGGTATGCCTGCCCTCCGAATCGGATCCTCCTGTGGGGACGAAATGCTATGTCACCGGTTGGGGTGAAATGCAGGCTAATCGTGCGCGAATGCAGCAGGTGCCCACGAGATTGGGTCAGCAAGACGATGCCACCAACGAAATCAGTATTCGAAGCAAACGCTCTGCCAGTAATGTCCTCATGCAAACTGATGTCGCAATTGTTGACCAGTCCGCTTGTAATGCTGCCTACAGCGGAGGAATCGATTCAACGATGATATGTGCCGCTAGTCCAGGAAAAGATACGTAAGCTACCGTTGTAATCACAGTTATCGGATTTCATAATTGAGCGTAATGCCCAACAGTGGATATGTGTTGAACACCGGTGTTTAATTACTTTAATGCCATATAGGTGCCAAGGAGACAGCGGCGGTCCGTTGGTTTGTCAGCGTACTGGAACACAGACTTTTGTTTTATATGGGGTGGCTTCGTTTGGAAGGTATGGGGTTGCTAACACAGAATGAAGACTTACTATGCTGTGTCATAATTGTACATAATCGTACATAATCAATGTACATAATTGTCATAATTGTATAGACTTACTATGCTGTGAAGTACTTATGGTCATTGGCTGTTGTACTTAATATTCTGCAGCTAGTGTACAATACGGTTTAAAGCCGTGCTGCTGCGTTTGGCTCGTATTATTAGTGGACTCAATCTGCAGCCGAATAAGAGCGATAATGCTAAGGCCATGTATAAAAATTGTTCACTCGCCTTCACTGTCTCGGACTGCCTTTTTTGTTGCAGAGGATGTGGTCAGCCCGATTTCCCTGGAGTTTACGGTAGAGTCAGCCAGGCTACATCATGGATACGTAGCGTTGTTGGTAACTTCGCCTAATAGAAGCCCATCATCGGAATGAGTCTCAACTACACCGGCAGCGGTATCGGTTTCAAATGGTTATACGGATACCAGTTGGTTTAAAAACTATGGCAGCAGGAAGTGGTGCAGATAAAATATTTTTTTTAATTGTGGTGAAAATTGTTTTTTGTACATTTTTACGAGGTACTAAAGTATCTCTAGACTTTAGTGGATACGTACGGTGGGACCGATAAGTGCTACCGTTGTCTTAATATTTCTACTTTAATCATCAGATACGAAAAACGATTGACAACATTAAACAGTTTTTCCTGTGGAAGCACGCAAGCTGTGTTTAACAACAGCAGTGGCACGCAGCATGGATGCTATTGCTTTAAATAATATGGTAGATAAAATTAAATCAGCCAAGCTGGAAGAAAGCACCGTAGAAAAGGGAAGACGAAGCTCAAATGAATACAGAAAGACAAACGCCCCAGTATAGAAAAGATGAATGTCAAATAATTGCTAAATTTCAATGGCACCTTTAGTAATGAAAAAGCAAATGCAGGTATCAAAAAATCGTCAAACAGGGTCAAAAAGGGTCAAAAATAGCGCCTTATACGAAACAGGCGCCTTAAACTGGGTTGGCATCATTCTTTCGACAGCACAACGCTGGATTCATGGTACAATTCAGTGGGAAGATGAAATTTCCGATTGACAGCAACTGATAACACATGCGTAAAATCCAAATCAGCCTGCCGAAAGCAGTGATGTGCACGTTATTGTTACGCATTTAAACAGGATGGTCACCACAAGCCGTCCCTCTTGTTATTCGATAATTAGAAACGTGAAAAAGGGAAGCGGCCATCTGAGAATGAACTGCGGGATAAAGAAGTAATTTTTTTTCGATATTCTATTTACTTCCTTTTCTTATTGTAAAAGGATTAAACTTTCTTCAACGTCTAGAATTCAAAAGTCGTGAAATATCGCACGGAAAAATTAAACGTTCCAGCTTTTTTCGCATGACTAAAAAATGAGTAATGTGGCGTTAGCACGGCAGCGAGCCAACCATAGCTCATCAATTGTGGTGGCGGTTAAACTGTCCCAAACTGCGGATCGGTTGTTTAATTTTATTTATGCCCGTTAATTTGCATTAGTCATGTGCTTTAGTTAAGAGTGATTGTCCGCTAAGCAATTTGTTTTACTAATTTTGTATTTTAATATGACGATTGTGCAACAATACCAACACAGTTGCATTACATATGTCCAATAAAGTCACCTTCCTAAAACGGATAAGGGTTGAATAAGGAATAAATAAAATGTAACGACAATCGTCGAATACAGCTAAAAACGTTTATCTTAAGAACTTCAGTTTATTCCAGAGCTTTGGCGTGTTATAAAAATCCATAAACTATCAGATATAGCCGAGTTTTATCTTAACCCGGCTCGGTTTCTACGGAACAACGATCGAGCTGCTTGGCGCCATTCTTTGGACGATATGAAGCACAGTACCGGATTCATGGTGCAGTCAAGAGAAAAAATAAAATTTCCAAAAGATATCAGCTTGTAATCCACGTAGGAATTCCAAATCAGCCAGCCATACGCTACGTGGTTGGGCGTCCACGATATTGTCACGCTGAGAAGCAACATGGTCAGTAGGAGAAAATGCCGGCCGTCACTCTTTGTCATTCGCTTTGGAACGGGAGCGGAAAACCGCGCGCTGGTCGGCTCATCATGTTTCGCAGCGCTTACTACTGATAAATCACCTTTTTCCAGACTGGAAGCCGGTTTAGTCTTGGAAAGTTCCAATTCATCCGTTTTTTTGGAAGCACCCGTTCCTTGATGAGGATAGGAATGAGCAAGGACTTTCTTCTTGACGACGTTGAACACTTTGTAAGCAATGAAGGGATACAGCAGAAAGACAATTATTTGCGGGAGCCAGTGAACAATCACGATGGTTATTTTGTCATAAAGCTTTTGACCACCTCCCGATGCAGAGTAGACACAGAAGCGAGCATTGTACGGCGCTCGTGACCTTTGATCAAAAATTATCACCCCATACAGTGACCACGCGTTCACATAGACAACCGTCAGAAGAACAACACAGGCAGCAAATCTGACGGTGTGATACAGTCGGTAGCTGTTGGGAAAGGTCACCGCCCAAAACCGATTACAGCTGATGAGGACGTGAATGTGGAGGACGAAGCCAGCTGAAAGTTGCGCGATGTATAAACACACGTTGCAGAATCCTTCGCCCAAAATCCAAGGTATCTTCATGAAGTTGCTGATTTGGTTAAGGTTGCTTGTGCAGGATTTCAAAAGGTCATTTATGGCCAGGGTAAGGACGTATACCGAGAACGGCGTGTGAAGTTGCGGGCTCTTAGAGTAAACCGTAATAAAGAAGATATTGCTGATGTAGCTGAAGACGTCAAGGAACAGATATAACCAGCCAATGTAGATCGTGTTGGGAGGCTGAAAGTGTGACGTAACATTCTTTGTCTGGTTCGCTAAAATCGTTAAATTCATGGCGCTGGTTCTCCGTTTCCAGACACTGCAGCAAATATGTTGTTACTGCAACGTATATTATGACCCGTTCCAAGTTCCAAGTCCCTCTACCACAATCGTTAGTTTGCTATGGAAAGATGAATCGCAGATATGTAGAACATCCTTGAAACGAGGCACTGTTTCCAACAGCAACTTGCTAGACGCTGTCTGTTAAAGTGTTAATGAAAAATAATACCGGATGAAATTCGTTGGCGCCTTTGGATGGCTCAGATTCCCTGCCGTATTAGCTCCTTTGAAGAGTGATGACTGGTTGATTAAACCTTAATTACTGCATGTAGTCAGAGTCTTTCATACCAGTGAGACACCACGTATAGAACCATCTCCATCTGAGTCCACTGGGACTTCGTTATACAATAGCCGGTCATCAATCGTCAGAACGCAAAGTATTTTTAGGAAATAACATTTTACATTTCTAATGTTACTCTAATTAACCCTAGATTCCTGAATGGCCATATTACTGCGGCATTACATTCACCTGAAAACTTTGGTTTGGAATTATTAACGCCTAAGACGGATTACAGTCAGAATGCTGCCTGGCCCGCGGTTTATTTATACGAGATCTGTGAGATCCACCTGCACTTATGGCTCAGGCCTCAGCAGATGCACTTATGGCCTCAACAGATGCCCAGGCTTAACTTGACGATTCCTGTTTCTTCGTTTTTTTACTTATTGGATCCTATGATTTGAAGCAATGCTAAATTTTGCTTCGCTAAAGTCTGTTGACGATTCTTAATTACAGAGCCCTGTATATCAAATTCTTCCTCCAGGCAAGCATACCGTACAGTCTCAAAATTAACAATATTTTTAGTAATTATCGAAAAAATCAATAAATAAATAAAAGAAAACTAGCATGTCATGTTTCAAACAATTCATCTTCTCCGAAACAGTCCTACGGCGGCCTGACGCCATTCTTTAGACGACACCAAACACAGCACCGGATTCATGGTGCAATCCAGAGCGAAGATAAAGTTTCCAGTTGACAACAACTGAAAATCCATCTGTGAATTCCAAATCAGCTTGCCGAAAGCAACATGCGAAGGTGTCCATGTTACTGTTACGCTGACAAAGAGAATCGTCAGCATGAGGAAATGTCTTCCATCGCTCCTTGCCATCCTGCGAGAAGCGGGACCTTGTGATACCGGAACCGGTTGACTAGCAGAAGCATTATTGCTGACGCTTTTTGTCAATGGATTGTGTTGTTCAACTCCTGATACCGGTTTACTCTTTGGATGTTCCGGCCCGTCAGATACGCTTGCATTTCCCGTATTTTGTCGAGAGTATGAGATGGCGTTAGTTTTCTTCTTGACGACTTTATACACTTTATAGGCAATAAACGGATACAGCAAAAACACAATAATCTGCGGCAGCCAGTGAGTGAAAATAGCGCTTAGCTTGGAATACAGCTGCTGACCCGGGCCCGATAGATAATACACACAGAAGCCGGCATTACTGGGCAATTGTGACCTTTGGTTGTAAGCAATTATTCCAGGCAGTGACCACAAGTTAATATAAATAAAAGTCAGGAAAACAACACATGCGGCGAATTTCGTGGTGTGGTGGATTCGATAGTTGTTGGGAAAGGTCACTGCCCAGAATCGGTTGCAGCTGATGAGAACGTGGATGTGGAGCGTGTAGCCGGTTAAAACCTGCGTCGAATACAGGCAGACATTGCAGAAACCATCGCCCAATAACCAGGGGATCTCCATGGAGGCGCTGATCTGAGCAAAGTTTCCCGTAGTCGATTTAACCAGATCGGTTACCGCAAGCGCCAGTACGTAAACGGAAAACGGAGTGCGGACTTGAAGATTTTTGCAGTAAACCGTGATGAAAAAGACATTGCTGATATAACTGAAAACGGTAAGAAGAAGATACGAACAACCAATGTACAATGTGTTGGGATGATAAAGCTGGCCGCTGGAGTTCGCCGTGGCGTTGATGGCGTAACCCTTTGAAAGATATGTCAGGTTCATGGTCGTAATGTTTGTTTCCCGCTTTGGAGAAAAAATTAAAATATTGACTGGGCTGAACATTTTATTTTATTTGTAAACCACATGTTTGACGTCCAGACTTGAGCGCCAGACGGCCGATATCAGCGCCTTTGTTATGTAGCGTTAATAAACGCGTCAGCGAATACCACACAATGACAAGCTACATCTTTTTGGAAAGCAGATTTCAACGAAAGTCGAAGCTTTTCATTTATTCCGGTTTACAAAAGTGGTATTACTAATCAATCTCGGGGCTTGGCATCGCGTTGTGAAGTACATCGGTTTCCTTGAAACAAATCGAATAGCATCTATTAGTTTATGCACTTTATTGGTCAAATCATACTTGGGGACAAAGTAAAGAAAGAAACATGCAAACTACAACAAGAAAATCGCATTTAATTTATCCAGCCCTTCCATCGTGCCAAGCACTGACGCCGCGTTACCCTGCTGAATCTCTATCGACAAGCGCTGTCTTAAAAATTCATGCGAGCGTGCTTCGCCAGTTTGCTGCTGAAGTCTCTTCCCCAGTTCTTTGATAAATGCGATTGCTGACGGTCCCCATGGACCCATGGTTTCAAAGGCAATTGGAACGAATAGGTAACGGCCAGCTAGGTAAATATATAGTCTGGATTTCTTATCCTCAGCTTGCACGGCGGCCGCTCCACTGTGGTCGAAGTTGCTTTGACATGTGACGGCGCAACCGTGTCTACACATGTCACGTCCCATGCGAGACACAGCCCGCGTTTCCATGCAAATGTCGTGCAACCGTCCGGGCGGCGTTCCGTAGTGTGAGAGGTTCCACGCGGCTCCAGTTTTGCGGGCACACCAGCGGACACACATCCTCGGCAGATGATGCTGTATGCTGTATGATAGCATCTATTAGAAATCTCCTTTATTCTGGGATTTTGTTATTCCTGGAACAAATGCAATCAATTGCTGCTTACCATGACCTAACATGACGACAACAGCTGGGCTTAGCGTTTGTGGGCCGTTGCAGGTTATTGAAGTGACACTGACATCCCTCTGGGAATAGCTTATCGGAAAAGCAGCACTCAATTTTGATATTTTTGCATTCCATGATTTTCGCTAAAGGTACAAAATTTACTTTATAGCTAACAATTTTTTGAAGTTTAGAATGTTGCACTTTGCGAAACAAAACATTCTTTTTAGGTTTCTTTGTATGCCTGAGAAGTAAGTAACCGTGTTGCAGGTGCTGTGTCTGACAATGAGAGAAAATTTTTCTGCATTCCTTCCCAGATATCGGCATGTGGTGGCAGAACAGCCAGCTCAGTGTCACGTCCAGAGAAACAGATTTTATTACTTGTAAGAGTGGCATAGGTAGACGTCTATATGAGAAATTGTTTCATGTCAAGACTTACCGATAACAAAGACATACAACGTTTGTACATACCATTAACCACAGCATGATAACAGCAAGCGGATTAAATTCCAAATAAAAGCAGTCAGGCACTGACGGCATTGTGCTTAAACCTTAAACATATGCTTGAAAAGGGCCGCAGTTTGCTATTTTGCCGCACTATGGCCGGTAAAAACAGCCTTCGATTGTGTATTTTGCCGCACACTGCGCTACAACAGCCGTTAGCTATTTTGCCGCAGTTTTCGGTTAATATAAAGAACATTTACTTATTGAACATTTAGTGATAATTACCGGTCTCTGAAGCAACTGCTCACGTGTGCGCAGATTGCTCTGCAACCAGACGTCGCAATTTGCACTGGTTTGCTTTTTTTGTATGCTCACCAAAGTGTTCGGCTGTATTATGTTGCAAATAACACAGCAAGCAAAATGGAGAATTACGGAAGATGAGCAGTAGCACGCATAAATAATACGGGCAGCGTACAAGGCTGTAACGGTGCATGGCAACAATGCCAGCGTCATTTGCCAGCGTCATTATCTATTGTTAGTCTGTTGATGTATTCAGTTCACGATGAATTAAAGAGCGTAATGCTCCTTACGTCGTGACAAAGGCAGTGAGTGATAAACTATTTTTAAAAAAAGATTCAAAAACACCTGGAAAAGCACGACAACCGCCACTTTTGACGAAATCAAAAGCCAGAGTATATCAAGTAATCTGTCCGAAATACCTTTCCTTCATCTACTATGACTTGGGCGAAATAACAAAGCAACCCTCAGGCGCCCGTCTTTAGCCGATACTTTAGTAATTCATGGTCCATATATTCATGCACAATCCAACCTTTATTAGTTTTCCATCCAGAAGCAGAAATAAAATATAACGACAATGCCATCACATACTCGAAACGCAAATGCAGCTAAAAAAATTAATTAAATGAAACCTAGATGCCATAAAGAGAAGCTCAAACAAACAGTCAAAGACATAAACGCTTTCATACAGATTTGCTGCAGTACGGTTTAAAGTTCCCACCGCATCACAGGAAACTATCAGAAGGACACACGCTTATCCTGTGGTATGTCGATGCCGTCTAGCGACAAACGATCGAAGCCGACCGTAACCTCTCCACCACTGCGCTTGACGACATGCTGATCCCCGTCCGCCTTGCAATATATAGCGGGCTTGAAGGCCTTCTCGAATTCACGCACAGCGACTGACCAGGCTTCAAGATATCGGACGCTCGCACTGCCTTGCCACGTGCTGCGGTGCCAGCGTCTTGAACTTCACAACTGCGCCACTTGTACAGAAACGCCGCACGCTGAACGCTGAGAATTTCCGCTGGATACCATTCATTCGGCTTCTTGCTGTAATTAGCAAAGACCAGTTCTTTATGTCGGAATACGACGTCCCCCACACGGCTCGAGCCTGAATGCAGCTTCACGGAGTAAGGCAGCGGTGGTTTGTCCGTGTCGAGCTTGCACTGATACAAGTCCTGCACTTCGGACGGAAGCAGTAAACCACTCTGCAAACAACTGCCACAGATAACAGGAGGCGACACAAAGAGCGGAAGCGACTGTTATATTGACAATTCAGCTTGCCGCATGGCTGAATTGACTTCATGTTGTGACTACCTTGATCGGCCCATCAGCCAATTCCGTATGGGTCAGCAGCGAGAACCGCACCAGAAACAACGCCTCGCCCAGCAACTGGCGCCGGACGGGTCCATGTTGTTGGCCTTGCATGCCTTCGCCGCCCATCTGGAACAGAAGAAACTTCTTTAGTCGTACGACCTTTCTATCAAGCAATAAGTATACTGTACACTGTATGTATACGAGGAGGATTATAGTTGAGTCGGTAGCGCATAGCTGCTGCGAGTTAAACTGAACACCATTTTGGTAAGCTGTTAACGTAACAGCCAACCGTGGATGGTTGCACAAACCAATAGCTGCGGTCGTTCAACAACAAAAAATCGAAAGCGATCGTAACCTCTTGGCCATTGCGAAGAACATGTTTATCGCCGACTGTCCTGCAGTATGTAGCGTACTGGAAGACATTCTGGAACTGCATCCACAGCGTTTGGCCAGGCTTCAAGATATCGGACGCACGCAGAATCCTCTGACTGGCTGCAGTGCCCTCGCCTTTCACAGCGCAACTGCGCCACTGGTACATAAACTCCGCCTGCTGAACGCCGATAATTTCCGCTGGATACCACCAACTCGGCTGCGTACTGCCGCTGCTGACAAAGACTCGTTCTTTGTACGGGAACACAACGCTTCCCACACGGAAGGAGGAGTAGGACCGAGGCTTCACGGAGAAGGGCAGCGGTGGTTTCTTCGTGCCGAACTTGTACTGATACAGGTCCTGCACTTCGGACTGCAGCAGTAAGCCACTCTGCAATCAAACTGCCAATAATGACGCAATGAGCAATTAGCGATTGCAATCAGCGCGCAAAACAAGGCTGCGGCATGGCAAAATCGTATGTTTCTATCATGGCGTTCGTTGTTCAACGCAGTTCGTTAAACAATTCTCGGATTCGGTTGTGCCCACATTTTACACGGTCGGCATTTGCGAGCCGTCATTTTGAACACTCCGCCGCAACGGTTCCCTTCCGAAGTGTATGTTTATAAATTTATACAATACATAGTGCTCCTGACAAAATTTCACATTTATGGTCTTAAATTTCTTAGTTTTAAAAGAATCTGTACTACTTCGTATAATTTTAAACGTTATTAAAATTTTAATTTTCTTATTTAAATTCTCGCAGTTATGCATAAATATTAAATTGTGAACACTTTTTTTTGCGGAGACATACAATACGCAAACACATTGTATTTCCGGGGATTAGCTTCGGGAAATCGCTACACCATATGGGCAGCATGGAAATGAGCGGCCTGATTTTTACTGCTGAACTACCGTAGTACATATGTACTGTAGTTACCTAACTTACCTTGATGGGCCCATCAGCCAACTGCGCGCGGGTCAGTAGCGGAAACCGCACGAGAAACAACGCTTTCCCCAACATCTGACGGCGATTTGGCGGCGGATGTGTCGATCTTGCTCGCCTTGCATGCTTTCCGCGCCCATCTAGAATAGTAGAGTAAACCAGTCTTTTCTCTTACAGAAGGAGAAAACTTTTTATCAGCAATGTGCATACGCTGCTATAGTAGGAATGCAGTACCGTTCTGCAGCAAAATAAACGTTGTTTTCCACCACGGACAGCGTGTCCCGCTCTAGAAACATCGCCAGGGTGCTCTGATCCAAAACCGCGAAATGCTTCGACTGGAAAACTCCGTCAGCGGATCGGTCAATAAAATCCAGGCAGCGCTCCACGGCCGCTTCGGCACGGAAACGCACCGCCTGCAAAACAGCTCATTTTACGATGAATATGACCGGATCCGGTTAAAGAAGCACAGATGCTGAAGTTGACGAACATGCTCCAGCATGGCCAGGCAGTTGTCGACACTGAGTTGGCCGCTGATAAAGTCGCAGCAGAGCTTCTGCAGCTGTGGCAGATCATACTTGTCCGCGCACATCAGCGTCGCGATGACGTTGTCCACACGCAAATGTCCCACGGTATCAGTGTAGAGAAAGCTGAATCATCATAAAATGTACAGCGGCATAACCGTGCGCGCTACAATTACTGATGGGTGATGGCTAACCTGAGCATGTTCGCAAAAGCATCGGGTATAACGTCAGGAATGTCGATAGCCTGATCACACTTTTCAGGCAATTTCCCGTAGAACATGGCGCCAAACACCGTGCTACGCAAGCACAGAACGTACCTGCAAAAATATTTGCAAGCATGCTGAATTACTGTAGCTGACCAGCCGCGCTTCGGTGCTTACTTGTGCACAGGGAAACATTTCACTGGTCCGAACTGTCGCCCGACGGTAAACTGCACGTCACTGTACTCGCCGCTGATTAGGGAACGCTGCATGCTGCAGGCCAGCGACAGTGGGGAGCCTTCTCGGCCAGTAGACGGCGGGACTTGGGAGAAATTCTTGGACATGATGAAATTCTTGCTTAGTTGTAAGTTGTACATGGAGTCGAAATGACAAGAGGACAAGTGTAAAGGCAGCAAACAGTGAACTATCAAACCATATACAGTGGCGTCCGAACAAATAGTCACTGGATGCAGCAAAACTTCATCGATTCTTCACATTAATATTATTCAAAGAGTTGCTCATTCAGAGCGTAAGTCGTATCTTAAATTTTTCAATTAAAGACTTTAAAGAGAAACAGTCAGCCACTCGGAAAAACCCAGCGGTGTGCAGCGGCCGCAGAAGGGGGCGGTCGTATAGGATGACCCCAGGTAGTGACCATTAAAACAGCACATGCGGCCAATGGTGGATTCGAAATTTGTGGGGAAATATCACCGCTCAGAAACGGATGAGGACGGGTATGTGAAGAGTACTGTAGCGGTTAAGACCTGTGTTTAATACAGGCAGGAGTTGCAGAGTCCATTGCCCAATAACCATGGGATATCCATTGAGCTGCTAATCTGAGCAAAAGTTGCCTGTGTCGATTTGACCAAATCGGCAAATGCCAGACTAAGAACGTAAACGGACCGGAGGTTTCTACGGAAGTCGAGGCTTTGCCTCTATTTCCGTACTCAGATGTCGTATTGTTAATCGTTCTCCGGGCTTGACATCGCGTTGTAAACTACACAGGTTTCCTTGAAACACGTCGAATGTATGTAGCTTTTATGGGAAATTTGAATCAGGGATATGTTATTCCGGGATTTCCTTATTCATAAAGGAGCTCGCATCACGATAACAGCAGAGCAGATTGCTTTGTGGGCCGTTGCAGGTTATTTTGTACGAGTACCCTATACCGAGCGTCATCTGATGACGGTGTCGTTTGTTTTGTTTTCGTAGAAACTAATTCGGTTGGTTAAATCTAGAGACTATCGAGAGATCGAAGCAAAGTCAGTAAAATCTAAATTCAACTCTTAATAGTTCTCTTTCAAGAAGCACAAAATAAAGCACGACGACAGTGCCACCACGTATACCAAACAAAACTGCGCCTAAAGTCATATAAAATTCAGGAGCTAGCGTACAAGTCTAAAACATCACGTGTACAGATACAGACTGGCTACAGTGCGTTTCTAAGTTCCTAACACATTACAATGAACAATCAGAACGTCAAACGCTTGTCATGCGGTAGGTCGATGCCGTCCAACGACAACCGATCGAGGCCCACCGTAGTCTCTCGATTTTCCCGTTTAACAACATGCTGATCCCCATCCGCCTTGCAGTATATAGCGGGCTTAAAGGCATTCTCGAATTTCACCCACAGCGTCTGACCGGGCTTCATCAAATCGGACCCTCGCACTACCTTGCCACTTGCTGCGGTGCCAGTGCCTCTGACTTCACAACTACGCCATCGGTACAGAAACCCCACCGGCTCAACGCTGAGAATTTCCGCTGGACACCATTCATTTGGTTTCTTACTGTAATGAACAAAGACCAGTTCTTTATATCGTAATACGACGTCCCCCATACGGAAGGAGTCCGAACTCGGCTGTACGGAGAAGGGCAGCTGTGGCTTCTCCGTGGCGAACTTGTACTGATACAGGTCCTGCACTTCAGACGCCAGCAGTAAACCACTCTGCAAACAACTGCCATTAATGACAGAAGGTGACACGAACAGCGGAAACAACTACTATTTATATATGGGCACAAACCAGTTTAGCGCTGCACGTCAAAATCAGTAATTCGTTCTTCAACGCACCTCGTTTAATAATTCTCTTATGCGCATTTTGGTTACCTTTTAAACGGTTTGCGGATGTAAGCCGTCGCTTTAAACACTGACAATGATAGTGTCAGTCTGACACTGTCAGATGACTCTGTTAGTGCCCGTCTGAATCGTATAATTAAATACTCGTACAAGCACTCCTTACAGAAAATTTTACTGATGCATTTATTTCCTCCCTAATCTAAAAGTTTCTTTTGTTACAGTCTAATTTCTAATTAAATTCTTGTATCTGAGCTTAGTGAGTGCCAAAGAACATTTATAACGGAGACATACACGAACGAATCTGTATTTTCGGCGGCTGGTTTCGGGCATTCACTGAACACGGAAATATAACTGCCTCATTTGACTTGATATTGTGACTACCTTGATGGGCCCATCAGCCAATTCCGTATGGGTCAGCAGCGGGAACCGCACGAGAAACAACGCCTCCCCAGCATCTGGCGCCGGTTGGCGGCAGACGGGTCCATGTTGTTGGCCTTGCACGCTTCCACCGCCCATCTGGAACAAAGCGTCAATCTTCTTTATCGGTACGAATATTGTACAACTCTATCAACAAAGCGAGTGTGGGTCAAAATCAGTCTTTTTAGCGTTACGTTTCATGGATGATCCCTATATGTACCGTTCTGCAGCCAAGTAGACGTTGTTTTCGTCAGCGATCAGCGTATTACGCTGCAGCATCAGCACGATGATCTTTTGATCCAAGACGGCAAAATAATCCAGCTGGAGAACGTCATCAGCGAAGCGATCGATACACTCCAGGCAACGCTCCATGATCGCATCGACATGAAAATGAACTGCCTGCAAAGTGCAAACAGCTCATTTTAGAACAGATTTCCAAATCCCAAAAGAATCATAGGGTGACGAACATTCTCCAGCATGACCAGGCAGTTGTCAGCACTGAGCTGGGCGCTGACAAAATCGCAGCACAACTTTTGCAATTGTGGCAGGTCGTACTTGTCCGCGCACATCAGCGTTGGAATTACATTGTCCACACGAAGATTCTTCACGGTATCGGTGTAGAGAAAACTGTCAATAGAAGTGCGTTAAATCATGCAAAAGTCACAGTGATGTATCCGCGCGCAATACAGTTACGAATATCTAACCTGAGCATATTGGCAAAGGCATCGGGGACCACGTCGGGAATGTCGATAGCCTTATCGCATTTTTCAGGCAATTTGCCGTAAAACATGGCGCCAAACACCGGGCTACGGAGGCACAGAACGTACCTGCAATTGCAAAACGATTCGCCAAGTTCGGATGCGGAAGTACTGCAGCAGCCCAGACGAGCATTGGTACGAGTCGTACGACGGTACTTACTTGTGCACTGGGAAACATTTAACTGGTCCCAAATGGCGTCCGACGGTAAACCGCACGTCACTATACTCTCCGCTGATCAGAGAACGCTGCATGCTGCTGGCGAGCGACAGTGGGACTTTGGAGAAATTTTCGGACATGATCGCTCAGGTTAATGGAGACGAAATGAAACGACAAGGGGACCAGTGTCAAGGCAGCAAACAGTAAATTATCAAGAATGTATGGATAAGGTTGTTGTCTTAAAGAGCAAATCGCAACTGGATGCATAAAAAATTCATCAACTCTCCGAATATTTCGAAATTGACAAAAACTACGGGTAAATTTGAAAAACTGCAAAAAAACGTGCAGCAAAGTGCTGTGCGTAAGTACGATACTGCGCAATGCCTAAGTACGATACTGCGCAATGTTTACTGCGTAAACTCTACCCGGGGTAGAGTTTACGGTGCTGCTGAAATACTGCCAGTCCAGCGAGGGTAGCCTTAGGCACACTTCGGGACATTACTCTAAAAATTCCTGGTCACTGTTTACTGATGTTTGTAACTGTTCACCGTTTTTCGTTACTAATTTCCAGTACTTCTGCTTTTCAAGATTGTTGGCTTAAGATACAAAATTTATTTCGTTGTCAACAATTTTTTTATCAAAGAAATACAAATATTACACTTGCGAAGTCAAGTCAGTTCTAACTGATTAATGATACTGTCAGAGCGGCATCCGCTCTCTATAAGATCGTTCGATAGAATATTTCAATAGATTTTGTATGCTTAGCCGATAGCCTAGTGGTGCCTCTCTCGGCCTTAGAGTATGGAGGTTGTGGGTTCGATTCCCTCAATCGGCAGATTTTTTGCGAGTGTCTGTGCGAGCCTAGCCCAGCCCTTTCAATACCTACTGTTCAAATAACAAGCAACATGAAGAATTACGGAAGCTGTAAATTAAGCGCAGCTTACAAGACAGTGATAAATCAAAATAATACTTTGATCGGTCTGTCTGATATTCTACAAAATTTTGTATGACCACGGTTTTCTGTATTACCGTGGGCTACGCGAGGATATTAGCAAACGATGGTAACGGTAGTACCTTTTGTTTTAAGCGAAAATTAGGCGGTATTACCATGCCTCATTTGTTCATGGTGTAACTGTTTCGAAGTCGGAACTGTTTTGGTTGGTGAAATTTAAACACTATGGAGAGGCCGGACTCAGAATGACATAAAGGAGTACAATACGAATCCAACTTTCAATAGTCCTCCTTCAAAAAAAGCAGTAAATAAAGCGTCCCAATTGCGCATACGGTACCCACCAGGTACTGTATGCGCAACGAAAATGCACCTCAGACATTGCAAACGAAAACAAAAGCCATAAAAAGGAAGTAAAACGTACCGCGCAAAACAAAATTAGGTGTATACAGTTTGGTTACAATACGTTTCAAAGTTACTCCCACCACATCACTGCAACCTGCTAAAATTTTAAAGTAACAAACCCTTAAGATGTTTAGGTGGTAGATCGGAGCCGTCCAACGACAAACGATCGAAGCCGACCGTAACCTCTCGACCTTTGCGCCGAACAACATGCTGATCACCGTCTGTCCTGAAGTATGTAGCTTGATTTAAGACATTCCCGAATTCCACCCACAGCTCTCGGCCACGCTTCAAGATATCGGACGCTCGCACAATCTGCTGGCCTAATGCGGTGCCAGTGCTGGCAAGTCCACAACTGCGCCACTGGTACATAAACTCCGCCTGCTGAACCCCGATGATTTCCGCTGGATACCAATGAATACGGTACTCGTTATAGACAAAGATCAGTTCTTTGTATCGGAACAGGACACTGCCAACACGGAAGGACGTCCGCACAAGGCTCCGTGGGGAAGGGCAGCGAGGGTTTCTCCGTGGCGAACTTGTATTGATACAGGTCCTGCACTTCGGACGGCAGCAGTAAGTCTCTCTGCGAAGCGCGATCAATTGCCATTTACCTTAATGACCACTGAGCAATCGCAATATGCTTACAAATTCCACATATATAATCCGACAAGTTAAGTCAATGTTAACGTTTCATTGTTTTCAGTCGAATCTGTGTAATTTCCAAATATAGCTTTAGTCCAATTAAAGTCCTCTGTAGTTAATGTGTTAACACTGGGCTGCAATGACAGACGTGGTAGCACCGTGGTGTGGGAAAAATCAGCTCAAAGCTGTCGAGACTGCAGGCGGCAGATCCGCCGGTGGACGTCAAACATTAATTTTTTAATGACTTCCTCATAGAAATTTGTTCTTTAAGATTTTCTATAGGTTTACGAAGATAACTTGCGCAGTACGTGAGAAAACATTTTGCATTCTCGGGATCTAAAATAATTAAATAACTCTTAATGAATAGGTGAAGTCCCTTACTCGGCATCAGCCAGCTCTGCGCACGTCAGATAAGCCGGATTTATATACTACAACACATTATATAGAGGGTAAAACTAAACGTGTTCCACGGTTCCCCTGTGTTGCTGCCGTCAGCCGGCTGGAGTTTTACGTTGTCGCTAAACATGGCGCTTATGTACCGCGCCAGATTTAACCATATGTATTGCCGTAACGTCACACTCACAGGCGGGTGACGGCAGCAATACAGGGGAACCGTGGAACACGCTTAGTTTTGCCCCTATATCTATATCTATATACTACAACACGCGGATTTATATACTACAACACACTGAACACAGTACTTTAAAGGATACAGGTAAAATTATTTTTTTCTAAGTCGAAATACACAAATCGAACATAACTGCTCGAAATGCGGGTAACCTCGAAACCGGGTAGTTTTCAACTACATTTGGTGATTACCTTGACGGGTCCATCAACCAATTGCGTAGGAGTCAGCAGCGGGAGCCGCAAGAAAAATAACGCTTGCCCCAGCATCTGACGTCGATTAGCGGACGGGTCCATGTTGTTGGCCTTGCATGCTTCCAAAGCCCATCTGGAACGAAAAGGCTGTATTCTGTGTCTGTTCACTTTATTCTAAATCTCGGTAATCGCATTGTGGGAAACACTTTCTTTATGTGGTTTCATATCAGAAACGCTCAGTTGCACTAACAGTGACAGCGCCTTTCGCGCATGTGTCTGGGCTTCCACTATCTGTACTTCTGAAAATCTGCTCTACCTACAGGTAGTAGCTAGTAGGCACTAGCTGTAATATTTTTTGTTCCGGTGTTTATTATGAATGTGAAACAAAGCAGGTTTATGGGCTCCTTGCTATCGTAATGCAATTAAGTACGTATTATACAAGCCCATTGTCCTTGTGCGGGTTGCTATTAAATGATGACAATACAGACTACGGTATACGTGTACGTACTGTATTGTACACTGTGTACTACTTACCGGTAAGCAGTCAAGTAGACGTTATTCTCCACCGCGGACAGCGTGTCCCGCTGCAGAATCATCATGAGGACGTTTCCATCCAAAACCGAGACTTGCTCCGACTGGAGAACGTACTCAGCGAATTCGGTACGGAAACGAACTGCCTGCAAATGCACACTCATAGAAATTCCCGAAAGACTCACATGCTGCAGTTGGACGAACATCCTCCAGCATGGCCATGCAGTTGTCGACATGGAGTTGGGCGCTGATGAAGTCGCAGCAGAGCTTCTGCAGCTGTGGCAGATCGTACTTGTCCGCGCACATCAGCGTCGCGACGACATTGTCCACACGCAAATGCTCCATGGTATCGGTGTAGAGAAAACTGGAATCACCAGTGAAAAAGCTCAGTGATGGGAGTGTGCGCTGCAAGCACCGCTCCTAACCTGGCTTACCTGAGCATATTGTCAAAAGCACCTGGGATAACGTCCGGAATGTCGATAGCTCCATCGCATTTTTCAGGCAACTGTCCATAGAACATGGCGCCAAACACTGAGCTGCGCAGGCACAGAACGTACCTGCAAAATAATTCGCCAGGCTCGCATGCGAGTACTTTAGCAGGCCCAGGCTCGCATCGGTTCTCACTTGTGCACACCGAAACATTTTACTGGTCCAAACTTTCGTCCGATGGTAAACTGCACGTCACTGTAGAGCAGCGAACGCTGCATGCTGCTGGCCAGCGACAGTGGGACTTGGGCAGAATTTTGAGGCATGATTCCGTACTGGAGTCCAAATGACCAGAGGACGAGTGTGAAGGCAAGTCAGCAGTAAACTATCAAGAACGCCACCCTGGGTGGAGTCTCGAGGATAAGCAGGAACTGGATGCAGCAAAAATTGATCAGTTTTTGGAACCTGCCTTGGTTAACTTACTTATGGTTAGAGCTAAAAAGCAGAATGCTGCGAAGTTGCCAACTGTCATGTATCATGATGGATGTAATGTGTGCAGTGTGCACTACTGCGTTTTAAAATAAATGCGAGTATAGCTCCCTAATAAGGAAAACCCAATGTGTGCGGTGGCTGTACAAGGAGGCGGAGTTTTTAAGCCAAAATTAATTTTTTAATTAATGCACTTAATTTTTTTGTTAAGTACCGCTCACCGGTAACCAGAGGTCAAGAACTCACGGTCCAGAAGTGTTGTGATTTATTCCTTCGAAAAAGCAGTGGTTCAGCTACAGTTTTTTCCACCACTTTTTTACAAATGCAGTAGTGCTATGTATTTAGGTGGTACGTGATGAGAGGAAGAGAGAATTTGATTGGGTGTTCTCATTCAAACAATCTGCGGACATCAAAGATCCGGAATGTGCTTAAACAGAACATACAATGATATCCCAAATCAAGAATAAGGAGCGGGACTTGTTGTTTTTGGTTCAAAGTAGTATTACCGATCGCCGGCAATCAAATCTTCTGCAGATTTTTCTACATTGTAAGGGTGTTGTTTTTTTGTATGCTTCTCAAAAGATCATGGACACTTTAAATGGTATCGTTTTGTACCTGACCGTGTGTTGGGAAGGAAACTCGAAATATAACGACAACATAATTAATGTTTTATTAATTAAGAGATTGGAATAGTGTACTCTAATAGATCTAAATTCGAAAACCACAAATGTGGAACAGATATCTTTGAAACATGTTTAAAGCAACGACGGTGAATCAAAGGTGCAAGATGCATAAATGACAAGCAAAAAACTCGACCCGCATGAAAAAGTCTTAATAAATACAGTGTCAGAACATTATCAAGTAAGGAAAAAAATTATATTATATGTCATAGTTCAAACAGGTCGCCTTCTACGTATCAGTCCTGCAGCAGCCTGACGCCATTCCTTCGAGGACACCAAACACAGTACCGGATTCATAGTACAATCCAGGGCGAAGATGAAATTCCCGATTGACAACAACTGATAATCCATGCGTGAATTCCAAATCAGTTGGCCGAAAGCAACATGGGATGGCGTCCAGGTTGCAGTTACGCTGACAAACAGAATCGTCAGCATAAGAAAATGCCTGCCGTCGCTCCTTGGCATTCGGTGAGAAACGGGACCTTGGGATATGGGAAACTTTTCGGTAACAGAATCGTTGTTGCTCGTGCTTTTGGTCAGTGGATGATGGTTGCCCCCACCCGATGCCGGTTTGCTCTTTGAATGTTTCGGTTCCTCAGATACTCTTACATTTCCGGTATTTTGTGAAAAGTGTGAGACAGCATTAGTTTTCTTCTTGACGACTCGATACACTTTATAAGCAATAAACGGATACAGCAGGAAAACAATAAGCTGAGGCAGATAATGAATGAAAATAGCGTTTAGCATGGAGTATAACTGCTGACCCGGTCCAGACAAATAATAAATACAGAAGCCGGCATTTATAGTAAAACGAGACCTTTGGTCGTATATGATTACTCCAGGCAGCGACCACATGTTAATATAAATAAAGGTCAGGACAGCAACACATGCGGCGAACTTCGCGGTGTGGTGGATACGATAACTATTGGGAAAGGTCACCGCCCAGAAACGGTTGCAGCTGATGAGGACGTGAACGTGAAGAACGAAGCCGGAAAAAACTTGCGTTGAATATAAGCACACATTGCAGAATCCTTCTCCCAATAACCACGGAATCTCCATAAAGTTGCTAACCTGGATAAAATTGCCCGTCGCCGATTTAACCAGGTCGGTTATCGCCAGGCTTAGGACGTAAATTGAGAACGGAGTGCGTAGCTGGAGACTGCGACAGTAAACCGTGATGAAAAAGATATTGCTGATATAACTAAAAATGGTTAGGAAAAGGTACAGCCAGCCAATGTACAACGTGTTTGGGTGAAAAGAATAACCACTGGTATTTCTTGTGACGTTGCTGACCTGTCCACCCACACTCGTCACGTTCGGGAACATGGTCGCGCGGCTTGTTTCCGCGTTTGAGAGAAATGCTGTTATTCATGTTCTGCTTGACATTCATTTTATTCTTAATCCTGAGGATCAGCGCTCAGCGGCAGACAAGCGCTATTGAAGCGTTCATTATTCAACAGCAGTGCAAGCGTCAGCAAATCACCCCACCATTATACAGTAAGCTTTAATCTTTCATTAAAAAGGAGATTTCCAAAATTCCACCGGAATTATTGTAGAAGCTTTGCATGTCTCCCCATTCGCAAAGGTAAATATCAATAATTAATCTAGGGCGTGATGAAAGAGTTCCTAGAAGAAAAATCACCTAGCTGATATTAGAAATTTGCATTATCCAATGATCCTGTTATTCCTGGAACATGGGACGATTGCAATCAACTGTTGCAAGTCGTGAGGCAACGCAAGGTTTTAACGTCGTGCACCGTTTAGTTTATCGAGGTGCCTGCCCTAAGAGAATTCCTTGTGGGAAAAACAGCAATTGACTTCAGTACATATTTCGATTCTCCATCTTTTTTTGCCAAGGGTACACAATTGCCTTCAGTGTATCTGTATACTGCCTATAGGTATTCTGAAAATCCTAAAACATCGCACGTGTTCAAGTAAGGCGTTTAATACGATATTTTGTTTCGCTGTCTAATATATGAATGACCGTGTCATAATGTTGTGTTCAAAATTTTATCTTTTAACTGGATTCTTTTCTGTTCTCCACCAATGTACATTGCACAGTAGTAGTAATACCGCCACAGTACCGCCACACGGCCACAGTACAGTACCGCCGCAGTCAGTGGCGGTACTATCGAACGAAAATTATAAAAAAAAGAATAATTCGGTACTGCAGCACTAAATTTGCAAAGGTAAGTACAATGTTACGAAAGTGATCAGGATTGGGTTTCGCAATTTCTGTGCCGAGAATCAGCATCTCCCTTGAAGAACGAGCATACAATAAAATGTAGTATGCTTCTAAACAAAAACGTTTGTTGTATATGTGCATTTTCGGGTATCTGACGCTAAATCACACGCTTGGAATAAATAACAGCGTTTCAAATAAGATAATATCGGGCTTTCTGACGATTTTCAGACAACCCCTGTATGTACAAATCTTGAATGATTTTCTGAAAACTGCCAAGGCCAGGAGATGTTGGGACATGTCACCCTTTAGAAACGATTACAGTTGTTGAGCATGCAAATGAACAGGGTACTCTTCAACGAAAAATGAATTTATTAAAGAAACGTTTCAAAATGTTCACCGAACATCCACGGATGTTTGTTGTCGAGCTAGGTGCTGGCCTGGTTAGCGGTTCTGATAATATACGATTTGCACAGCACGGTTGATGCTAATTTTAAGGTGACGCTGTCGCTGTGCAATGGGAGAATATGTTGAAAGTTTTAGACAATGGGCAATTTAATTCATCAGCCAATGCGATAGTTTTTGCCTGTATGATCTGGATCTGGATAAGAACTATGTATATGTCGCTATGATTTTGACCGACTGTAAATTTCGTGGTTGATTGTTGCAGATAGGTTTAGGGAATTATCAAATGCGCTGCCAAACGCCTGCTTTAATTTGTGTGAGAAAACAATAAGCTGTGGCGGAAATGAAAAGATGTACAATCAATCACCCGTTTCAGTGAAAATAAAAGCAGTTCGAGCAGTACGTTGAACAAGTTGTTCTTGTTTGATTATTGCTGCAGGATGACAGTGACTGATCATCAATGCAGTCCAATGCAGTCTGCGTGTGTACTTCCAAACAAAATTGCATTTTTTGCGCTGGTGTTGAGCTAATAAATACGCAAACGCCAGCATTAAACTAAAACAAGCACAAAACTTTCATGTATTCCAGCCAGAGCATTACAACAGCAGCCATGATTCATGCCATGGTTTGAAATCGGACACGTTCACGCATATCTTTAGCCAGTTCGATTTCTGCGCCACAGCGCTCTCGCTGCTTGACGCCATTCCTTGGACGATACCAAGCACAATACCGGGTTCATGGTGCAGTCCAGAGAAAAAATATAATTTCCAATGGATATCAACCGGTAATCCATGTAGGAATTCCAAATCACCCAGGTGTACGCAATGTGAGAGGGCGTCCACGATATGGTCACGCTGAGAAATAGAATGGTTAGCATGAGAAAATGTCGGCCTTCGCTCTTCAGCATCCGCTTTGGGACGGGACCCCGCGACGCGGAAAACTTCTCGCTTCCCGATTCATAAGTTTTCGTGGCACTTCCCGTTGGCTGGTCTTCTTTTGCTAAGCTTTTAGATAGCTCCATTGCATCCGATCTCCTTGAAGCACCGGTGCCTTGTCGAGACCAGGACTGAGCATGAACCTTCTTCCTGACCACTTTGAGCACTTTATAGGCAATGAAGGGATACAGTAGAAGAACTATACACTGCGGGACCCAATGAACAAACGCGGTAGTTATGCCGGCATACAGCTGCTGATTCGGTCCGGACGGAAAGTACACACAGAAGCGCGCATTGTAAGGCGCTCGTGACCTCTGATCAAAGACGATTACCCCGGGCAAGGACCACGCGTTAATATAAACAGCAGTCAGCAGAACAACACCGGCGGCAAATTTGGTCGTGTGATACAGTCGGTAACTGTTAGGAAAGGTCACCGCCCAGAACCGATTACAGCTGATGAGGACGTGAACGTGGAGAACAAATCCGGCTAAAGCTTGCGTGAGATACAAACATAAATTACAAAATCCTTCGCCTAAGATCCAAGGTATCTCCATGAAGTTGCTGATTTGACTGAAATTGCTGGTGCAGGATTTTACGAGGTCCGTTATGGCCAAAGTGAGAACGTACACCGAGAACGGCGTGTGTAGTTGCGGGCTTTTACAGTACAGCGTTATGAAGAATATATTGCTGATGTAACTGAAAACGTTCAAAAAAAGGTACAACCAGCCAATGTAGATCGTATTGGGAGGCTGAAAACGGGCGGTGGTGTTCGAAGAAGCATTCATCATAATCGTTAAATTCATGTTTTTACGCTGATTTTCACGGTTAAACGAAAGAAGATGCTAAGAAAATATGCCGATTTATGATTTTATTCTAGATTACACGGGATTTCTACGCAATCATCTGCGCGTGCATTTGCTATGGTCTGATTTTATCGGAAATCGAATAACCTGGAGGTAGAGCTGTTTATTCAACAAAAACAATAAGGCTTGCCGGGCGCTTTGTTTGTTTGATTAAAAATACATTGCATATAGAATGGTTGATGTGTAACATTGAATGGCTCAAAGTCCCGGTGGTAATGGTGAAGAGTGACCACCTGATCAAGCCTTAATAATGTATCGAGGCACTAGGTACGCAGAAAATTATCTTTGTCCATAGGGATTTCGGCATACAACTGCCGGCCATTAAGCTTTACAAAATGGTTTTCAGCACGTGTACGTAGTAACCTATCGCGATAATTTTACTTTTGCTGATATCATTTTACATGCTTGAATAGGCCAAGAATGCGGCATGGCAAATTTTTGTGAAATTATTTCGTTGAACACTACTTATTAATGTTCATCACGGGTTCCTAGCTACATAATTGCTCACTGATACCACGAATTATTTACAGGAGATCAGTGAAACCTCCACATATAAAATGCTTAAGAAGCTAACGCAAACACATGTAGTTTACACTTCATCCTTACTTTTGCAATCACTGACGCAGATTTGTGACGAATCTTTATTTTTATGTAACTAAAAACTAGAATGCTTGCACTGTTTTTCGTTCTTGAATGATCTTCTTACAGAAACTCCTTCCTGCATGCAGTGAAAGCCAACTCTGCTGCCATTTCCGGTGGAGCTTTGTGTACTGCTATTCGCAGCAATACAGCACACGAGTAAATACCTATATTACGTAAGAAAACCGGAATAACATGGCATGTGCGCAGCGTCTGGAATAAGACGCTAACGGATATTAAGCTGTCGTTCAATTTCTTAACGAAGATAATTAGCCATGTTTGCACCTGGTCGGCTGACAACTGCTGGAAAACTGCCTCCCGTTGATGACGCGAAAGAGTTGTTTAGCACGGGTATTTGTAAAGTCATCTGTTTAAAATATTCGATACGCTGTATTACCTTTCAGTCACCCTAACAACGTGGACAAGATTCTCTTGTCCGGTAATCGAGCTCGGAATTTTGCATCACAAATTTAGAAGCGATTAGGATATTCTCACTGCTACTCGTTATCCATATCGCGGGTGTTTCAACTGGCATTTTCATCTTGCAGCCATGTCAAAGATGTTGTTGTGACTTTTCCTAGTTTGCTGGTTGGAATAATCGTTAACGTTGAATGCAACAGGGTAAATACATTTTAATTCACAAGTCCAAACCAGGTGGTCTACCGACGAGTTGTACTTAATCTGTACACTCGCGAGCTATACTTAATTAGTGTGTAGTTGTTGCCGGAAGTCCCTATTCTCATTTATCACCGCCGTATCCTAAAGCGGTTGAACTGCTGTTACGTCATTCTACGAGTACAAACACGGCTATCATATATAAGCCATAATCAAAAGCAGCGATTATTTCTGGCTGATTGATTGTCCGACGGAGTGCTTCCCATAATTCACAATGTCCGCATCTCTTAATGCAACACTATTCCACTCCATGCGCAACGCTTCCAATGTGTCATATACTGGAAGTTTCGCCAACCGGCAGAATACCATCTTTATGGGATATCTATACCTGATGCTCACGGTATACAGCTACGTATCCAATGCCGTGTTCCTATTTATTTATGGCCGAACGCCCAGCCTGCAATCGCCGTTTTCCGTCTACGTCGTCAGCCTGTCCGTGTGTGACCTTTGCAAATCCCTGACCAATAGCATCTTGAAGGTCACGAATAATTTTCAGGCCCCCTGGCTTTTCGGTGACATCTACTGCCTTCTATCACAGTACTCCGCCGCGACGACCACATCTATAATGATGTACCTGCAAGTTCTCATCAGCGTTAACCGGCTGTGGGCGGTGGCTTTTCCTAACAACTACCGCACGGCTCACAACAAGAAGGTGGCGGTGGGTTTAATCATGGCCGTTGTGGTGTTCATCAATGCGTGGGCGCTGCCTGATTTTTTACTGGATCTACAGAAAGAACGCAGTACCAAGCAGATTGAATTCTGTTCATCATCGTACGGAGTGGACCAAACACTTTATGACTATTTCTACGGTGCCATCCTCCATCTGCTGCCGCAGGCCATCGTTATTGTGCTCTACCCGTTTATTTACTTCAAGGTCAAAGGGGTGCTGCATAAACGAGCGAAGATCGGCATGGCCAAGGAAGGTCACTCCGTCGAAGCGAATGGTGCTTCGCTGATTAAACCGACCGATACGAATCCGACAACCGTCAGTGCCACGTCCGGTGAAGCCAATGACCAGTCAAAGGTCACCACCGGACAAGAGTCCCAAAAACGATCGGTAAAGCAGCCCAAGGCGAAGGAATCGAAACAGCTGACCGGAACCCGGCATTTCGGCGTCTTGACAACCCTTCTCATCAGCGCTACGCTTTTGTGGACGCCTACACATCTGGCTTATATCCTGATGATGACCGGCAAGTTTGTGAATTATAGCTTTCTGGGCGTGGCGAATTTCCTTTTCGCGCTGGACGGAAGCATGAATCCGCTGCTGTGCGTTTTGGCATCCAAGGAATGGCGATCAGCGACGAAGAAGGCGTTCCGTCGAAGCTGACGATTCCAACTGTAGATTTCTTAAGTTGTTGGCTTTCCTAGTATGCTTTATCTGTTTTGCGTTAATACTTGCATTTCCGGTTATAACTCTTTGCTTACACTTTTTGGAGACAGCTACAGTGTCAATAGATTGTCTTCAGTTAATGGGGTCTTGGTTAACAAGCATGCTTCGGTCTGTAAAAAGTTAAGATTATTTGGGAGCAACATTTATGCTGCTGATTTATACCCGCAATCAGAACCATACACTTGTTTTATTACGAATAATGGGTATTTCTACATCTATTTTACTAATCAGTTTTTGCATTTGCAAGGGTGTACTCTGTAGTTCAAATAGCTTAGCGATTGCTGATCATTGCATTCAGTCTTAATTAACTCCAGGTTGAGCGGATGTTCTAATAAAATACGTAGAAAATCGCGTGCTGTCAGTTGTAACAGAAAACCTCTTCGGAGATTTATAGAGATTATTTTCTATTTCCAAGTTACCCACTCGGTGAACAAGCGTCATACGTACTTATTAATGTACCTGTTAATCCGTCAAAGGTATTAAATTTCGATGTTCACAGTGAAATGCTGGTAGCGTCTGCTGATTTGAAACAGTTCTTATTGCAACCATGATAGCTAATATTTTGCAAGTTGCATGTGTTAATATGCCGATAATGAGAACACGGAATAATTTTCCAAGGAATACCTTCAGCAGACGACGAGATTAATAATTGAATTTGTCCAAAAATATGCTCGAGGCAAGCATTATTTTTAGGGTAATGAAATCGCACTGCTTTTGGCACCATACGTCGACGCAATCTATGGAGGCGTTAGCATCACCATAACTTCCGTCACATTACATTATTATAATATTCATCCTTTAGGATATCGATTGTATTGTGAGTTGCTTTCTGTGCTTGGTAACTAGGTAGTACGTACTAACTGGATAGTTATTCATTAAAGGTTTTATGTTAAAGTTGTGACTGGTTAATCCTGGTTCTCTGCAAATTATATAGTGGTGGAGATAATTTAATTTAATTTATGTACCCCTAACCCGTGTAATGCTTTGAACTGACCCGTGAACGCATAACATGAATTGTATGGATTTACGTCTTTGGTGCATAGGACATCTAAACCAATGTGGCGAAGTACGTACATACATTAGGTAGTTATCGTTTAAAACGAATTCGTTATTATAAGGAGTCAAATGCAACTGTCAAAAACAGTAACCGCAGTATACACCGTAACAAAACGTATAAATTTTACTGGAGAAATATTCGTTCAATCTTGCAAGTTGCATGTAAATGCAGCGTACAGGGTAGGTATTCAGAAACATTAAAGCAAGACAATACTCAAGATACCTGTATCACGAGTATTGCATAAAAACTAACAGCTCAGTTGTGCGGGGATTTTGGGAAGCGGAAGATGGCTACCGCAGCATTTCGCCATTCTTTCGACAGAAGCATACACAACAGCGGGTTCAGTGTACAGTCAAGTGCGAAGAGAAAATTAGCGATTCCCAGAAACCGGAAATCCACGTATGTTCCGGACATGGCGACAACATAGGCCACATGTGTTGGAGTCCACAGCAGTGTCGCGCTGATAAACAGCGCCGTCAGCACCGTAAAATGCCGGGATCCTGGTAAGTTCCATCGGCCAGGATTCCCCTGTTTTGCCGGTGACGGTCGCGCGGAATTATTCGGCTCTGTGGACAATGAGCCAGCGAAATGGCTCCGAAGACTTCCTGTTGCTGACGCCGAATGGGCTAATCCGGCTGGCTTCACAGCACGCGACGTACTACACGTTCCAATCTGCGTTTTCTTGCGAAGAACGACTCGTACTTTGTAATAAATAAATGGATAAATTCCCACCACCACCGCCTGCGGTAGAAGGTGGATGATGGCGCCACATACGTAAAAATACACTGATGGTTTGGCAAACGGTATGAAACAGTAACGTATGTCCTTTGCCTTGCGTTCATGCACGTCTTCCAAAATAAATCCTGGTATCGACCACGCATTAACAAACACCACCACACTAAAAACCAGACACGCCGCGACTTTTTTGTTGTGATGTATACGGTAGTGGTTGGGAAAGGTAACGGCCCACCATCGGTTGCAGCTGATCAGCACCTGGATGTACATCATAATGGATGTCAAGATGCGAGCGCAGAACATGGATAGTAAGCAATATGGGTCGCTTAGAAACCAGTGGACTTGTAAATTGTTGGTGGTCTTCATAATGCCATTGCTCAGAGATTTGGAAAGGTCACAGATGGACAAGCTGACGACATACACCGAGAACGGTGTTTTAAGACTGGGATTCTTGTGGTAAATCAACAGGAGGAAGATGTTAGAGAAGTACGAGAAGACGGTGAGAATCAGATATAAATAACCCATAAACACCGTGCTCTCACGATGCCACGATGAGGAAATATTAATATGGCTTCTGTTCATCTCCCATGAAATTAAATTTAACTTTAGCAGTGTTTCATTCTCGGAAAAATTCATCATAGCGGACTGAAAAATATAAATATTTTGCACACCAAGAAGCTAGCAATAATTTTAGCGTCATGTGCCGCAGTAGGAGATGCTGTTTGTGTTGCCGAGCCATCCCGCTAAGCCCTGCGGTTAATAAATCTTGTAGGCTTTTAAGAAAATTACTCTGTCCGCTAAGATGATGATTTAATGAAGCACTGGCAAACGCGGATTACCGCTGGGATGCTGCAGGGACACAGCGGGCATCAATCGGTGCGAACGTGACGAGTACCTTACCTAAAGGAACGCCACCGCTGGTGCTGGAAATATCAGGCACCCGGAAATGGCCAGAAAAAGTGTGGGACGTGCGAATGTTATGTCTTGAACGTCACAACTTTTCGATCACAAAACCGGCAAATGGAAATAAGATTAAGTGCAAACCATAACGTCACACACCGGTGGTACATAAGTTTATTCCACAGGCAGGTTTTTATGAATTTAAAATATATCACCAGTTTTTGCACACGATTACCGTGGCTTTCTGACGCACAGTAACCCAGTTTTTGGCCTACTATACCATGATACGGTCGATAGCGTACTCTCAGTTGCGGCAAAAGATCTGAAACGCTGCATAAACGGGCACGAGCACTTATTATCCTAATTTTTTCAACGCTTAAAAGTTTAGCTTGTTTGTTTATGCGTGCCACCGGCTCACGGTACAAGCGTTTCTTTCAAAAGGAGACCGGTCTTTTATATGCCTTTGAATTACATACCTCATCACGCGACCAAAATCGCGTGCCTGTCATCCTGCGCTAACATCCTCTGGAGTTTTATGAGCTGCTGGGCGCGCACTGCTGACCTCTCCGTAAACTAGCACGCAGCGCCGGCATTTTTAAAATGTGAAGGATGAGGTGTTTTCTAAGCAAATGCAGGTAAAATTCGGTAAAATATTCATTTACTCCTGTGAAATTGATGTTTTCTTGTAATTCCGGAAGACAGTGGGTTTGCTTCACTGCATGAGCAAGGCATTTCAGTTTTATAGCCCTGGTTCAGGATCGGATAACAACGACTGCAAAATATTCTGGCTGGATTCGGGTTTTTGCTCAACAAATATCGAGAAGGTCAAGGCTTCTTACTCCTAGGGTGCTACATCCTTCCTGCCGTTCCCGGCATATTTTACATCTAATTATTACACAACCGTGGCCAGTTTAAAAGCATTACAGTTTCAGTGGAGATATTACACATCCCGAAGCCGTATATTGAGAGCGTGCGTTTCTTATGCACATGCACATGATTACTCGTGCAAATTACAGTTCCCACATCCAGTCCACCCTAACAAATCCGATGACGCGATGACTCGCATTTTACTATCATACGCTAGTGATCAATCTAATTTTACACAGCTGCGACGTGCGATCGCCGGTCACAGTGGGATTCAGTGGAAAATCCATGATTGCTAACACCACCCACGAAGCTAAATCCAATCAGATACTTATAATCTGGTACAATTATTTTAGAACTTTTTCTTGCTGGAGATACCGTCGATCAAGTAGGCATCAGGTATCTTTTATCCGTGCCCGCGATGAACATACCCGGTTACGCACATTTTATCCAGAATGTCACCAACCTAACCGCTCATCATGGAAACAGATTGCCACTGCAGAATACCAAATTCATGGGCTATATCTACATGATGCTGACCATCTTCAGTTATTTCTCCAATACATTCCTCCTTTTTGTCTACTACCGCTGCCCGAGCCTGCACACGCCGTTTTCTATCTACGTGGTCAGTTTATCCATCAGCGACCTTTGTAAATCCCTGACCAATGGTATCATGAAGACCACCAACAACCTGCAATTACCGTGGTTCCTGGGTGATCCTTATTGTTTGCTTTGCATGTTCAGCGCCCGCACAGTGACCGCCATTATGCGCTACATCCAAGTGCTCATTAGTTTCAACCGTTTCTGGGCCGTGACCTTTCCCCACAGTTACCGTACCCATCATAATAAAAAATTCGCGGTCGGCCTCGTCATTGGCGCCATCTTATTTGTCAATGTATGGGCACTGCCTGGATTCATAACCCAAGACCTGCATAATCGCACCGGCACTGAGAGGAAATTCTGCTTGGTACCGTTTGAAAAGCAGACGTCGGTGTATTACTATTTCTACGGCGTGATCATTAATTTAGTGCCGCAAGCTCTGATAATTATGATGTATCCGTTTATTTACTACAAGGTCAAGAAGGTCCTTCGGAATAAAAAGAAAATCGGTGCAGCGCCGACGCCTTCGAATTCCGGAGAACCATCATCCAAACCTTCCAAACCATCGAAAGCGTCCTGTTTGTCCGTGCCGCGTAAAAACGCTCAGCAAACCTACCAAATGTCACGAGCCGCTCCTTCCAGTGCCGCTATAAGCGAGTTCGAAATGGAAGAGCGGCCTAGATTGCCCACACCACCGGCGTCCAAAGAGCTGGCCAAGAAAGCTCCAGTCCACTCTTTTGGAACGCGGCATTTTGCGGTGCTGACGGCGCTGCTGATTAGCGCCACGTTGATGTGGACACCGGTACATCTGGCCTACACCCTCATGATGTCCGGGACGTTTGTGGATTTTCGCTATTTAGGGGTGGCGAATTTGCTTTTTGCGCTGGATTGCACTCTGAATCCGCTGCTGTGTCTGCTGTCGTCTAAAGAATGGCGGAATGCCGCTAGAACGCTGTTTCGCCACTAACACGTTTGTATTGCGCACATTAGTATTGTTAATCGCTGCATTTAACTTTGCCAAAAATAATTAGTCCCGTTTACTTTTTTGTGTCTGCAAAGGTATTAACTGTACCGTAAGAGTCATAGCTGCTCAGACGTCAGGTATCGTTTTGTGCTAATGAACCATTGCCGTCAACATAAATTTTTCACGATCATGTGGTGTTCTGCACTCTGCAGCTTATTTTAAATCAATTAAATTTGCACACGACTGTTGTTTTCTCGAGCAGATGAACTACGGGAGGTATAGTAAAACTTGCGGTGTGTGTAAGCATTTCGCAGAAATCTTTCTGCTTTGTTGTCTTCGTGAAGGAATGAGTGGAGGGATAGGGGTGACTCTCCAGCATGTCATTAAGGTGATGTCCCTCAGGATGACATCGATGATATGGATCATGATTATTGCATTGTGCGAATGGCCTCTTTCGGTGAAACGAGCGGACTAACACATTTTCATTAGCTCCATGTTATTATTATGGGTAAAACACTCGAAATTTACAAGAACTCTGGCTCCGTAAAACTGATCACAATTTTCGCGCTGAAACCACGTAAACATAATTATGGAAGACAACAACACACTCTCAAGGAAATTATTTGCTAATCTAATTGCACAAGCTTGGCGATATGATCTTCTCAGATTTCAAGGTTATTCAATCAGAAAAAAAGACAATTATTTTGAAATATGAGGTACGGTACGTAAAAACAATAACGGCAATTAAATTTCATGACCGCGAGATATTACATTGCCCCTCAACCCGAGCCCATGTACCAGCCAAAATATGTAAATTACCGTATATTCTTTCCTCTTGCGGCTGCAGACACGTGATACGTCTCGGCTTGCCTCATTCGTAGCAATTCCCGGCGATGGGCGTGGATGTTGTGGAAAAAGCGGGAATCCATTAAAAACTGCAGGTAGTTGGTAATTCTGGCTAATTGCAAGTAGGCTGCGACTCTTCCGACAACTCTTCCGACTGCTTTGCAATGAGGAGCGCTTTGCCGGTGGCTGATGCACATTCCGATGTGGGCACCAAATAGGCTAATACAGCCTAATTGCTAAATACCTGTTTGCTTCTTAATATTTTTCGTGCTACTGCTTTTCCGGAATGTATCATAATACTATGGATAATTTCTGCAGAGCAATGATGGTTTCTGGAATACTGCACTTTGCGATAAGCATAAACAAGCCTTAGCACATTAGAATTCTCGGGAACGCTTTTGCAATTCGATCTCCAGGCACCAATCGACAATTTGAATAGGTCTTTCGCCTTTCTCTTGTTTTTCAGGACGTGGTCCATATAAACGTATAATAAAGAAACGTGCTCAAAAAGCGGTAATTCTTTCAAAATGTTTAGGTATTTATGCAACCGTGTATCTCGTGAAACGATAATCGCCATAAAAGGGATACCTGCCGCGCTCCGAAGTTGTTGGATAAATAATAAGTTTCGTACTGCATATTGCATAGATGGTTCGGTCTGCTGGATCATCCCGATGAATTTACTCTTAACGCGCGATTCAACACATCATCCGAATCACGTGCAAGTCGGCAAAGACGTCACTGTGTTTTGCTAATAATTTTGCTATCCTTCAATGTACTGGAAGAAAAGCGCTATTGTGTTCGCCTTATACGGACAAAATGAGTGTAATTCGCCTTATCCGAACAATGACCAGTCTTAAACTTTAAGATTCAGGTTATACAGTCTGTATACCCATTGTGAGTAATCAGCAAAGACTATTGATTAAGTACACATCTACTGATTTATTGAAACAGCGTCATAATGCGCAGATCAACATAAAAGTTCAATAACCCCTACTACTCAACCATTTGCAGGAGAACAAGACGTTTTTGATTTACAACAGGAATCTTGACAAAGAATACCCAAGATTTACTTGTGCATACTCAGTTACATCATACAGAATGATCTACCATTGGGCATTTGCTGGAAACAGACTCTAGCTGCTGTGATAAACAATCGAAAGGCGCTGTGTGGTTTAGGCGAAAATGCAAAGGTAGTGGTCAGTTTCCTTGGATAAATAATTAAGGAAAACACCGGCGAGAGCAGATACACGTCTGCTCCTTAACAACGGATGTGGCTGTTATGAAATGACCTGACAATCACTGTTGCATCCATTTTAAGCACTTTACCAGCAGAGAATACCGCTGAAGAGATTGTTTTTTTACGGTAACACGGAAATATTGACAGCAGCGTTGTTGACATGTGCTCCCCAACATGCTCACGTGCTCATGTGCGCTGCTGACATGTGCTTATCATGTACTCATCGTGCTCTTCTTAAATCAAAAAGCAATGCTATTTTAAACCATGGTACGGTTGACCTACCGTAATGTATAGAAATGCATGACTAAAATTAATAAAGGTAATTTCAGTGAAACAAATGCAGTAAAACGGCTACGCACAACATTTATACTACACAGGGAACGCCATAACGGCATTAACGATATCATATTGCGAGCGCTGTGTAATGCCGGAATTGAGTCATACCCGGAGCCCATTGGTTTTTTGCGCGAAAATGGAAAGCGTCCGGATGGAGCCACGCGTTGGAAGTGGTACCGCGGACAGCCATTAGTATGGGACGTCAACTGCAGAGATACGATGGCGGATTCATATATCGACGCGACCTCAAAGAGTGCTGGCGCCGCCGCCGAACTGGCTTGCCGGGAGAAGATTGGAAAATACAAGTCGCTGACTGATCGCTGTAATTTTGTCGCTTTTGCATGTGAGACTTTTGGCACTTGGTGTGAGACCGGCATTGTAACGTTAAAGGAGATCGGTAAGAAGTTGTTTTTAAGGATGGGCGAGAGTCGCTCTACTTGTTTTTTGTTTCAACGTTTAAGTTTGGAGATTATGCGCGGTAATGCTATGAGTGTGTTGTGCACAGTCCCTTCTCATGTTAATTGGGACAAATTCTTCATTTGATCATATTTGTTGAGCCAAGCTCGCCTGGTACATATTGAGAAATAAATTATAAACTACATAGGTTGAAAGGTAATGCACACTTTCGATTTAGCTACTAAGGAATTGTATGTTTGGTTTAATGAAATTTTATTCTGAAATGAATTACTGAACATTCCAAAGTTAATCCGCTGTATGGCGTGATGATCGAAATACATCGTCATTCCATGGTCAAAAGGCTCGGCCCCGTTACTATGTATGTAGGTGGGAAGAGGATTAATAAGTGATTAAACGCCTTTCGTGTGTGCAGTTCATTCATTCTGCGACCAGTTCTTAACAGATATTGTTTGAAATTTATTAAGATAAAGGATGGGATGCCACAATTCAGTTACTAATTATGTATATGATACGACTGTAAATAGTGCAATGGTGTGTCTAAATCTAGGAAAAGGTGACATCATAAATGACAGCTGAAGAACCACAAAACATTTAACTGTAAATGGCTTTTAAAATGCTTTCAAATTAACAGCTTTCTATACCGGTACACTAGTAGCAGCGAAATGTAGTTTTTACAGCGTCACGCCACTCCTTCGAAGCCAGTAAACACAGCAGCGGATTCATCGTACAGTCCAGGGCGAACAGGAAATTCGCGACACCCAAAAATGTGTAGCTGACCGATTTTCCCGACATCATTAAAATGGAGGCCAGATGGGTCGGTGTCCAAAAAAGTGTCGCGCTAATCAGCAGTGTGGTAAGAACAGCGAAATGTCGGGTGCCGGCCGCCGCTTTAGCAATGCGGCCGGGCGGTTTCTTAACCCGATTTTTATTCCCCGCTTTCTCCTGCGGCACGGCGTGCATTGACATTTCCTCTAGCCGAGAGGCATCTGAGACCTTGCGGCCTCTGCCGATCAACGTGGTGGTCGTGACGCGGGAATTAGAGGTCATCTGGCTTTCCACTGTCGGTTCCGGTTCAACACGGGTCTTTCCAATATGGGCTTTTTTGCGCATCACACCCTTAACCTTGTAATAAATAAACGGGTACATAACAATCACCAGCGCCTGCGGCAAGAGATGGATGATGGTCCCGGAGAGATAAAAGTACACGGATTTCCCGCCGCCGAACGCCGGTGTACACATGCGCACCTGCTCCTGCGTGCGGTTGCGAATCTCTTCAGTTAAAAATCCCGGCAAATACCACACATTGACAAACGCCACCGCCACGATTACCAGGCACACCGCTATTTTCTTATTATGATGCGTACGATAATTATTGGGGAACGTGACGGCCCAGAAACGGTTGAAACTGATTAGCACCTGGATGTACATCATCATGGAGGTCAGCGCCTGCGAGCTGTACAATGCCAGGAGACAGTAGCCGTCGCCCAAAAACCACCGCATTTGCAGGTTATTTGTCGTCTTGCTGATGCCGTTCGTCAGGGATTTGCAAAGATCACAGATGGCCAAACTAACGACGTAGACGGAAAACGGGGTTTTCAGGCTGGGTGATTTGTAGTAGATGAATAAAAAGAAGGCGTTGGATAAATAACTGAATATCGTCAAGGATAAATACAAGTAACCCATGAATTTGGCGCCGCGCTGCGCATAACCGCCGCTGAATGATGAATTAATCGTTGAATTGAGCATGGTAGACGCAGTCAACGTAGCGTTAGAGATGTTCATTTTGAATTAAAAAAATACGGTAGCTTGCGAGATGTCCGAAGATGGTGTGTATGCTCGTCGATAACGGAAACAAAGGTAATATACCGATGGTTACGTAAATGGTGGGATATATACGAGCCGTGGTCTAATTAACCTTCGGGAGGCACGACGTAGGGATTGCAGCACATGTCCAAATCATCCAGCCTACTTACAGTAGATGATTAAAAGATTATGCTGGTGCATATTATATGCATCCGGTACATGCTGAATTTTACTGTGTTTATATAGCTGATCAGATGCAGAGTCAGTTGAGCGTCGCAGCGGTGCTCCCTGTTTAAAGAATCCAAATAGAATTTATTGTTATTAAATAATCCGGGAACCACATGACTTTTTTGCATTTTAAGGAGAAATTAGCATCGGATCACTGATTTAGCACTGTCGGGATGCATAGTTAAACAATCTGGCAGCATCAGCGCAATACTGATTATTTATAAAAACGCCATGCATCATGCGGATGCAATTCCCCTAGCTGTGCTTTGACATAAAGGTCACCTTCGGGCTGCTTATACTGCGTAAGAAAGAATATGTATTCAAACAGCGCTCAGGTAAAGCGGTCCAGGAATCTCTGGCATTTCCGTAAGGTCGAAAATTGAGCTAATTTGTATTGTGAGGCTGCGTTAATTCCTTGCAACAACCCGGAAGTTTCGCAATACAACATTTAATTTTTATCTCTCAGCTGTGATTTGGCTAATTGTAGTTCATATTGGGGTCCCAGACGGATTTCTATGGAAATCTGTTAATTTTACTACGGTACCTAGAATCATGCCAATGAGAAACAGTATTTACCATCTTACGATACTTTGCAATTTGTAGTAAACAATGCTTTGTTCCAGCCTGTAAGATGTCATTTCTGTATCATATTCATTACAATTTCAATTGGCTGATCCCTCAAGAGATAGTCTAACATTTTGATAGATTCTTTCAAGGTAAAGAATCTGCTTGCACTTGGTGTTTAAAGGAAAACGTTTGCTGTATTATGTGCTCTCGTTAGCTCATTTCGCAAGGGATTGTACAGCCGTCTGTGTATTTTGGTTTTGTTCCAAGCACCGTTGCTAATTTGCTACAAAGATACTGCTTGTATTAAGCGGTGCAAAGTACAAGGTGTTGATTTCAATTTAATGTGCTTTCGTTATTAACCATTGCCTTCACTTAATGTACTTACTTTTGACAAAGATATCGTGCAATAATATTTCAAACGATACCGATTTCAAAAATACAATAATACAATGCCATCATGTCATGTACGTCGATCCGTACGATACCGTCATTCATCATATCGCCCGCACCCGGACATTTGGGAGTGTGACATTTCGCCGCAATTAAATTCGACGCACGACTTTTCGCCGCGAAGAAATTTCGCCGCGGGGCATTTTGACGCGGGGACACTACGGTTAGGGACAATTAGCATTGAGACATTTTGACTTTGCGACATTTTGACGCAAGACGTCTGGTCGCGGACACTTCGCCGCAAAAGCATTCGACACGCATAATTTTTGCGGGTTTTTCGGGTTTTTTGGGAGATTTTCTTAAGTCTTTTGGACTTGTTAAGTTTTTCTAAGGCTATTCTTAGGTTAGTCATAGGTTATTCTTAGGCTATTCCTAGGTTTCTTAGGTTATTCTTAGGTTTCTTAGGTTATTCTTAGGTTTCTTAGGTTATTTTTAGGTTATTTTTTGGTTTCTTAGGTTATTCTTGGGTTTCTTAGGTTAATCTTAGGTTATTGTTTGGTTTCTTTTGTTGTTCTTAGGTTATTCTCTGGTTTTTTAGGGTTTTCTTATGGTTCTAAGCCTTCGTATTTTAAATGTTTTCCTGCTAAAATGGACTTTTCGTCAAGACAACGCTGCGGCGAAATGTCTCGGCGTCGAAACTGCCGGACGACGAAATGTCTCGCGGCGTAATCTCCTGCCGAATAAATGTCTGGCGACGAAACGTCGCAAGGCGAGATGACCTTGCGGCGAAATGTCTGCGACCAAAAGTCCTGCGTCGAGTTGTCGGCGGCGAAATGTCGCGGTGCCATATCGCCGTTTAAATCTTGCGTTATCACTACTGTCGAGCAATAATTAAAATGTTTTGCTGGACCTTTAATTCACTAATCTGCAGCTACTGCAAATTTCAAAAATACCGTATATGTTCTGAATTAAGTAGTCCAAAGTAGTACGTCTGCACAGCGGTCAGACAAGGACACATTTAAGGGAAAACAATCGTGCTACTGTCGAAAAGGCAAATTATTTGATGCTAACAACAGTCAATCAGTAGCACACCGTTGCCGTGGCGTATGGAATAACCTGCAGTCGATTCAGTTAGTCGATTTACGTATACCTGTACGACTACGTTTACATGTGACAGCGTTTATTTGTGGCATGTCATTCGGTGCACAAATATCTGATAGATAGCTACGCGGTACTCTTGGACCGGAAATTGATGTTCAGATGTTTTCTAATGTGGTGCAGCCAAGTTATGGGCACTAAGCTCGTAGGATGCGGCAGTAAGAGTGAACCCCCAACAAATACTCACACAGCCACTCCAAGTCCCCACCCTAGGAAAGGTCAAAGAAGCTGTATATAGGGCTAGTCAGTGGTGCGCGTATAAGTACTACAGTGCTTTTGTGACTCTGTGCCAGATTCCATCTACGACTAATTACTCAGTGCTGCGAAGTCACAGAAGGCTTACGAGTCTGTTTATCGTAAAGTGAACCATTTGAATGTTTGTACGTATCCCGTATATAGCAGCTTGATAATTAATTCCAGCATTTTCAGACTTCGAGGATTGATTAAAATGCTTGTCATGATCATGATTGCATTGTTCGCTCTCTCGTCTAGGCTGAAATGTATAGAAAAACAAGTACCGGGAAAATCTTGTTGATGGTACTCTAACGCATCACTGGAACAAAACATGAAAACGGTTTTCAAAAATGTAATTGCATCGAGTCACGAGTGACGCAGCTATTTTGAATTGCTGTCTCGTTCTAGTGATAATAATAGAGTAATACAAAAATATGACCTTGGAATTCCCAATACGTGTCCGAGTTTGCGTAATCTTGATTTTATTCACAACCTTTAAAAAAATATTCTGTACACTTATTTATGCTTTAACCGATCAGTCTGGTTATTTGTTTGTTGATTCTTATTTGGAGCAGAAGACGTGCACTTAATTGTGTTCGTGAAATGTTCGTTCCATTTCAAATGGTCTGTTGTTTTTCGAATGTACGAATCGAATATTTCTGATTGGTGTGCACATAGCAGTAAATCGTCTGCGGACACAGGCAAGAACACTTACTCCATACGCGATGGATATACAGATAGCTAACGCGAGTTTATTACATCTTGTGGTGTCAATAATTTACAACAATCTCGAACCGTCAATCGGTTAAACAACAATATTGCTTGATCGGGTTCCGCTGCATCGTTAACTCTGGTATTTACAAAAAAATACATGTGAAGAAAATATGATTAAAAGCTATACAAAGTACATTCCCCTTGAAAAGATTATCATTCCCAGTTTTGAGTTCAATACTCTACAATGCACATGTACATAGTACATACATACACAGCAACGGGCCAAATATGTGTAGCAAAAAACAGTTCCACAGTTGCCTTTCCGCGAAAAGAAAAGCCTTGATTAACTTAAACGGTCGATGATAGAAGCAGTTTATATGAATCCAGCATAAATAACCAAGGGACACGTTTCTCTTTAGACTTGGATAAAAATTAATAACACTCGAACTGCCGAACCACATCGCGAAGCATCTATCCATGTTCTCCTATTTACCGGAGCGCAGCAGTCGCTGTGCCGCTTCCCGCCATTCACGGGACACCAGCAGACACAGCATCGGATTCATCGTACAGTCCACCGCTTCCAATAGACTGCTAACTGCTAGCAGACGGAAATCGAAATATTCCATCTCAATCAGTAGAACGTACGTCACATGCACCGGCGTCCAGAAGACGATAACGCTGAACAACATGGCCGTCAACACCGCAAAATGCCGCTGACCAGTGGCCGCCGCCACCAACTTCTTCAACCGCTTCTTCCCCTCTGGTATCTCTACGTGCACTCCCGATTTTGCTACATGACTGATGGCCGGCGCATTATCCGAGCTCGCTTTGGTTTCTTTGGTAACGGCACCCAGTGAGTTGCGGTGGACATCGGTGGCCTTGGTCGTGACCCCGACTTTGCGCCGCATCACCACGCGCACCTTCCAGTAGATAAACGGATACATGGAGAGGATGAAGATTTGCGGGAAGAAATGCGTGCAGATGCCGGTGAGGATGAAGAGGATGCTCTTATGGGAGAAGTCATACATGCACGCCTGCGGGATGAAATAGGAGCGCGGATCGGTTAGAATAAATCCCGGGAGTGTCCATGCGGAGAGATACAACACGACACCGATCTCGCTGCAGGCGGAGACTTTAATCGAGTGATGCAGGCGGTAGTGGTTGGGAAAGGTCACGGCCCACAGACGGTTGATGCTGATCAATGCTTGCGTGTGGATAATCGATCCGGTAATCACCGTTGTGGCGAATAGGGAGAAATAGCAATAACCGTCGCCCAGGAGCCAGGGAATTTTCAGGAATTGGCTGATTAGCACGAAACGGTTGGTGCAGGTGTTGACTAAATCCAGTAATGACAAGCTGACAATGTATACGGAAAACGGCGTCCATAATTGTGATGATTTGGTAAATACAGTTAAAATAAATGTATTGCTGAGGAAGCTAACGACCGCCAGGCTGCCGTGGAGATATCCCAGGAATGCTGTATTCGGTTGTGCTTCAGAATGGGAGACATTGCCGGTAGAATTTGCGGTAAGGTTTCGCGGAAGATCCATCTTAGAATAGTGCGCAACGTGATAAAAATATCGCTGTGTTAAAAATCGCGAGACTTGTTATAATTATTGGCTTTGATGCAGAGAGATCGCGTGCATTAGAAGAAAACGCCGGTTAAGGATTTTCGAAGACGTGTGCAATTGGACTAATAAGAGACGCGCTGTGCCGCTTTTATGCAATTCCCCATCGATAGAAGCCAATAGATTCGCCGGTTGTAAAAACACCGGCGTCCGATTAGTACGGAAAGGTCAAGAGCGTAATCAGTCATGAGACAATTCAAAGGTGTCTCCCTTTATCGAGCAAATCCCGGCTGTGTATATCGGAAGAAACCGGAAAAAATATGTCAACGAGAAAACGAGGGAATAATGCCGCGAATCAGCACGTCAAGGGGCTTCTTTCCCATCGCCGGTATTTTATACGGGGATTAACTGATTGTTGTGGCCGTATGTTTTGCAATGTGTCCCGGTAGGCTCTGTTGCCGGTTACGGTGTAATCTTTTACCATCGATCAGGAGAAATAGCCCAGCGTGATTGCGGCGTCTAAATTAATGCCAATCAAGACGTGTTTTTCTATGACCATGTGCATTTGTCGGTTAAGCCGGCTTTTCACACAATCACGATCCGGCCTTGTCCCTATTCGGCAGCGGATGCTATGGCTGTACACTCGGTCACGCTACAGGAGCCGCTGGAAAAATAAAGAGCATGCCGGCTTTTGAGGAACGGCGGGGACCACATGCAGGGCAACCGGAATAAATATCTGCAACAAAAGAATTGCCGTTTCACCACTCTCAGACCGCACCTGCATTCGTGAAATACCGATAAAGGAAGCGGTACTCGACGGTGTCTCAAATGTCACTTGACCGCATGCTGATTGGTCAGTGGGTGGTCGTATGAAAAAACATGGTCACTCACGTATACTTGTTGACGGGATTTAATTCAGTCGCGATCGGATAGAGCTCATACAATGCAGGCTATTGGAGAGATTCCAGAAATAAATGGATAATAATTTTCCATTAAATACTCGAGCAATTTCTCATGGTCCATGTTCAACAAGATAGAATAATAATTATTAGGATCACCGGAACAATTATCAGAGTAATTAATATAAAAAATTATGTGTGCAATACTTGTTATGTAATAAGATTTTTCTTCCGTAGCATCAACGGGAAACGTACGGTATCCAGTTACTGGGGAAACTTGATACTGGTGCCGGCAATTCCCGTTTAATAGACCATATATAAGAATTGTCGTTTGTTCAAGTCTTTAGTACATGCAAAATTTGTGGCGAGACTCTTTTTCCCGTGTGGCTATGCGTTAATTCGTCGAAACGGCAAAAAATCCCAAACATTTCCATGCCCATGCATTACGTTTCTGTGATTGTATTAGCAGAGCGGAAGCGCACATTCCCTTACTTTACAACTTGATCAATATTGTCTTATCCGGCTTTGTGCTAACGACAGGCTCGTCTTTTTTATTATTTACGTTATATTCCCTCCAGATGTGTCAAGCCCTTCCTGTTTAAGGAAGGGCTGGGTTTAATAAGGGTATAGGTAGTATTTTTAAAAAAAGGTTGAGATTGCACTGACTGCAACGGCGTTGGCGATGGGAGAGTCAAAAGTCGCTCAGGTAGTCTCATGGTTAAAATAACACCTTGACTGCGTATGACGTCAATCGCGTTTCCAACTTAACGCAATTATCCGTGTTAATGGATGTCGCTCGTTTCCGATAAAGAAGTCTGTCACTGTCTGAAGGTAAACACCGAGGAGCAAAACAGTGTATCACGTGTTTCCTCCATGTCATTCAAGCGTGCGTAATTAACGCCGGCATACGTTTATACGGTAGCTGTTATTGGACACTACGCAATATTATCGTTATTTGTATGACGCTAATTGCTGGCTGGCTACATTAACAAACGTTACATAATTCACGTCACCGATGCGTTAAAAGGTTAAATGAAAGTAACACCCAATAATTAAATTAATTACCGCTGTTGTTGGTGTCGCTTACGTCACAAGCTGTCGTTTTATTTAACTTTTTACGCTCGTGCGTTATTACGAAGCTTTAATTCGCTATTAAGGTTGGTGATTTTTGCGGATCCAGTTACTTTAATTTTTACACAGAAAACATGTTTTCACAGAGATTATGTACCTAATATCTGTGTGCTTAGATAAATAGTATATACCGTTAGTACAGTTCAAAAATACAATGATAAAAAGTGCCAAAAACAAAACGAGCTTTTAAGAGTGTCCGACTACAAGTTTAAATGCAGTTCAATTATTTATATCGATTCGGCGAACACATGTGCCCTAAGCTCTACTGTACGAAGACCTAATTATTATTGCACTGCCGTAGCCATATAACGTAGCCGCGCCACAGATAAATCCATAAGCATGCAGTTTTGTAATAATGGCAGTTGTTTTCATGGTCAACACAATTCACCGGTCAAAACTGAATATGCCGAATTTTGCATCTGCTGACACAGTCACATACATACTACTGTATTGCTGAACCGGCTAACAAGCCATTTCGGGAAATGCCGCTATTTTTAAGCTGAGCATGCACACGCTTGCAACGCCTGCTCACGTCTACCTGATTATTCCGCCGAAATACCGTGACTTTTTGGGCAAATCGCCGAAATTTGTCTGAGTGTCTGGCATGTCCAAACAAAAAATACCGCGAATAACTCAGCCAGGGAGACAAACTTGCTTACTGAATGTACTTCATATAATAATAATTATTCTTTCATAAATGCCTACACGTCCGTCTTGAATACATATAAAAGCGGCGCAAGCAAACGTTAGTTTTTTATCACCCTTTTATTTGGTTTTTTATTTGGCTTTTTATCAGCAATCAGTCAAAACTGTGGTCATCACGATGGCGCTCTCATTCGCCATTTTTGCCGGTGTTCTCGTTTTTGCCGGGCTGGAAACAGCCACTGCCGAGGGTATCCCGGAAACCGTCCTGAACAGCTACTGCACCTTCTCCGTCTACGAAGTCTCCGCCGAATCCTACCAGTCCGCCAGCCTGAAATGCGCCAATGACGCCAAGAGCACCCTGGACGACAATTTCGACAGCGGCTTCTACCCCATCAACTACATGCAGGCCGATAACGGCGCTATGACCAATGCCATTGCCGACGCCATTGGGCAGGTAAAACAGCGCTTCCCTGACAAAGATTTGACCCTGGACATCGAGATCAACGGCTACCACCCCAATTCGCCCAGCCGACGCTACGCCGAGATCGTGGCGGTCATTGACGTGTCCAGCAAGATGACGGCGACGCTGGGTGAGAAGGACGTCGTGCAGTTGAAGGTCCAGCATGCCGGTGTACGTGCGGATCCCGATAATAAGGCGGATAATCGGCTGAAGGTCTTTGCCGTCAGTAATGTTGTCCTCTTGAACTGGGATTACCAGGCGATAGTCCCAGTTTGATTCCAATCTAATTAGTTGTGAAAGAAGGTGTTCATGCGTGTTTGTACTGCAATGTTGCATTTTATAGGTAGCAACCGAATGTAAGCGAATGATTTTCCGATGAATTTTTGACGTTACGCAGACGTTCCCATTTCAGTGCTTGTTTGTATTATAAAATCAATTTTTCTTAAGTTGGTTTTAATATATACCACGTCGGGAATAAACATATCGCTTACAACAGTTGATCCAAATGAACCACGTACCTGCGACGGTTGTTTTACAATTAATTTTTAAATTACGATGGTTGTTTTCCATCATTGTGCAAAATTAAATTCCTGACCAAAATAAACAGGTCTTATCGATTTTTGACTACCAGGGGTCTACCTAGGCAGATGATAAATTAGTATTTCGCTTGTGCCGACTGCAAAAAATGCCACGAGAATTAAATAAAATACTACTGCATTGATAGCAATTTCCAATTATTTACTAACAGTATTATTGTTCCTAATAATTATGTACAACGCAGCATTAGATGCAGGATAAGAACATATTGCCAATGTTTGTTTTTATTAAAAGCCGCTAAAAGACGGATGCGATTAACAGTATTATTACTATCTGTAGCACATGTACGCTACAACACACTTTTGCATGGCAAACATGGAGATTTGTTCATGTACTAAGGAAAGAATCACATCCTCGAATTTTCGACTTTATTACGGCAACTTGGCAAGACAAAATTAATGGTATGTTCCGCCGCTGTAAAAGCAGGGCGCACAGAGCAAAAAATCTTCGGTCAGTGGTAGATAAAATGCGTCTAAGCGTATTGGCATTAACCATTAAAGTGTAGCATTATCCAGACGCTGCTGGTTGATGTGTCTTGTGTCTAACTGTAACACGTGGAAATTAAGATGGTACTCAACGGCCAAGAACCATCTGCCAGATGGATAATCAGATCCTCAGGATGATGTAGGTCGGTTTAATACCTAATAGCATACCGCAGCCTTAGTACCCGAAACGCAGTAATTTCTTCGCCGCTTCTCTCCACTCTCTGGACACTAGTAGACACAGCATCGGCGTCAGAGTGCAGTCTACCGCTTCCAACAGACTGCTGACCGCCAGCAGACGGAAATCAAAGTACTCCATCTCAATCATCATGGCGTAGGTCACGTGCACCGGCGTCCAGAAGACCACGACGCTGATCAGCATGGCGGTCAGTACCGCAAAATGCCTCTGTCCCGTGGCGGCCGCCACCAACTTCCTCAAACGCTTCTTTCCTTCCGGAAAGTCCCCCGGATGTCCGGATTGACTGTTAATATGCCCCCTGGATGCACTGTGAAAGCTTGGTCGGATGTGGGGCACATTGTCCGAGCTCTGCTTAGTGTCTTTGGTAACACCTACCATAGAATTTCGGTGTAAATGAATCGACTTGGTCATCACTTCCACTTTGCGCCGCATCACAACCCGCACTTTCCAATAAATAAACGGATATAACGAAATAATAAAGATCTGCGGGAAGAAGTGGGTACAGATGCCGGTTAAAACGAAGAGCACGCTCTTATTAGCGAAACCATACATGCATGAGTTTGGAATAAAATAAGCGCGTGGATCGGTTATAATAAAGCCCGGAAGTGTCCACGCGGACAGATACAACACGACTCCAATTTCACAGCAAACGGAGACCTTAATCGAGTGACGCAAGCGGTAGTGGTTAGGAAAGGTCACGGCCCACAGACGGTTGATACTGATTAACGCTTGCGTGTGGATGATCGATCCGGTGATCACGGTTGTGGCGAATAACGAGAAATAGCAATAACCGTCGCCAAGGAGCCAGGGAATTTTCAAGAATTGACTAATAAGCACGAAACGATTGGTGCAGGAATTAGCCAAATCCAGCAAGGACAGACTGACAATGTACACGGAGAACGGCGTCCATAACTGGGAGGATTTTCCAAAAACTGACAAAATAAAAGTATTGCTGATGAGGCTAATTACCGCGAGGCTTCCATGAAGGTACCCGAGAAATGCGGTATTCGGCTGTGCTGCAGAGTGGGTTGCATTGGCAGAAGAATTTGCGGTTAAATTCCTTGGGAATTCCATCATGCTGCTGGCAGTAACGTCGGTATAGGTGCAGTGCGCCGGGTATGAAAATAATATTTTATGGATCTATACTTCAAAAATACCAGACAGCTTTGATTCAGTTGAATGTCATGACAAAACGAATGGCGGTAGAGCAAAAATTTTGCAGGATGATAGCTGATTAAAAAGTACACGTTGCTTTACCAAAATTTGTCCACTGTAGAAGAGAAAGGATGAGCATCCAAAAACACAATTCATTTGTGCAGGTCACTGATGCGTTAAATTATTTACGCGGCGACATACAGTGTCATATTATCGCTCTAGATATAATACACGAAAGCTGGAAAGCTTAGCACGATTCAAGGGGAAAATCCTTTAGAAGATGACGATGTTCCGGCGTCTAGTGACATATGGGAATTCGCTGTTCCGAACACAAGAAGAAAATATTAGTGAACCGGTAGTTTTACACCAAAAACTCGAATCCTGGCGTGACGCGCAATGACGTGACTTACAGGCTAACATGACGTGATTAGCACAAAAATCGAATTATCAATAGTATTTCCACAATATTATGTCCATTCACGTATTTGATAGACGTCTCAAAAACATACCTGGACAAATAATCGAGAAAATCGAAATGAACACCACATGTTTGCGACAACATCATTCGAGCGCACACAGTCGGTATACAGTAGTGCTGAAATGTCAGCACCATTCAGTGGCTTATTAGTTTCACATTTGTACAAGAAACCATATCCTTCACGGTTCACTTTGTCTGCAAGTAAATAGCCAAATTAAAACCCATGATTAAAATTGCTGCCCCCGGTATAGACATGGACATAGTCGATACAATACGCCTCTTTGTCGATCGTCAACCCGGGTCTTTAATAAGACTTTCAATTTGTGCTCTTTTACAATTGTATATTGAAAACTGGAGTTTAATGCCCCTGCAGCGTGGCGCTCGACTAGCTGGACACCAGACAGTGTACAAGACGCATTAGACGCTCAGATGAAAATTTCGTCAAAGATTTCAGGAGTATGAAAATCAGGCTCGTGGTCGGCATTAACGAGTCAACGACCTTCATAATACGTAAATTTTAATGCATTATGATTTTTAATATACGCAAAAGTAATCACCCTTTACGAACAACGTTTACTTAGTTGGTAACAGTTCTGAACAACAATCGCGAAAGAACATTTATAACCATATGCGTTATAAATAAAACGGGCAACTGATCACTCAGTTGACAAACTGACATCTTCTTCCTAAACAACAACAAGCAACTGTGATTAATATTAAATTACATAAAATCAATGCCATAACAAAGTGGGATTACTTATCATACAGGCGGGTACTTCAAGGTCAACTTAATCCCTCCGACATAATTTCGACTTATGCGAATGACTTAAAAAATTAACCAGTGAACGCAACAAATGCAGAAACAAAAAGCGTTCAGTATCTTACTGTTTTACAGGTTCCACAAATAACTGACGGCCCGATCCAACGAGCCATCACGAGGTGGCGGCTGAGACGATGCCGAAGTTCCTTCCTGAAGCCGAGTTTCCGTATTCGCGACGTTAAAGTATCTTTGCTGAATGGAATCGTGAGTCAAATGATGCCAGTTATTATCGCTTCCATTTTTGATTCTGGTCTGCGTTAACATTCTCTCAACCGTGACCTTAGGTGGTGACGTACCAGCCGGCAGTGTAACTTTGACTGTTATACCGTCGCCGTTGTGCAGCGTAACGAGGAAAGTGTCCCCCGGTGCTACCGGCTTTCCAACCGCCATGGGAGGCTCTCGAAAAGTACCACTCTCCGGTAAAATTTGCGTGCCGTTCGCTGCACTGTCGGATGCAGACTTTTTTATCATACCCAACCTCTCCGGTGAAGTTCTGGAAGCACGCCGTTTACGGGAAGCCGTTTCGGTACCGGTGGAAGGTTTTTTTGTAGATACAGGCAGCTCGATAATTTCCGGGGAATCTTCCCGTGCTGGTTTCCGGGGCTGGCGTTGAACTTTCTGTCGCAGTTTCATCCCTTCTTGAAAATCATCAGGATGTAGTTGGATGGTGTGTTTTCTATCCACACTTGTCCATTCCGTGTTAACTCGTTCTCCTAGCTTCGTCATCGCGTTATCCTGGTACTGGCGGTAGTAGGGATATCGCTTCGGTAATCTACCATACAGGTAATCCAGCCGGTCTGCGGGGCTATGAACACCGTTGCGCCAGTTGCAGCACGGCGCTCGTCCTTCTTCGACTAGACCCAGAAGATGCCGCACGGTATTGTGGCGGGAGTCGTTGAACGATTTATTGCAGTACGGGCAAAACCAAATTTTAACTTGATGCTTGACAGTTTTGTTGCGAAAGTCAGCCATCGAGGGTTCTGTGGTAGTTTCAGCTGGATCTGATCGTCGAGAGGGCCAAGCGGAAGAGGTTGGCGTTCGGATGGGGACGTCTCTGTTGTGTTTATTACCTGATGGGGGCATGGCAGATGCCAGATGGGTTATCTGCGAAGTATATCACGTATTTGTTCGTACGAGGAACTTTGAATTATACGAGCACTTGAGCAATGTTACGCTGATTCTAACGGTAAGTAAATCCAACAGCCGACTCGGTTAATACTTTGCACACACTACAGCCGACAAGTTTTAGGTGAAAGCGCAAGTATGTGCGGTACAGGATAAATACCTTTCGCTAAACTTACAAGGTGATAACTGGACTTTCGGTTACGATTTTATTAACGTAGAATCAAATAGAGCGCCAGTAGACTCTCAAACATAAGTGTTTAAAATTAACATCGCCATGTTGTTAATGCCTAATCATCTGGGCAGCGTGGACCCGGTTGCTAAGCAAGATGCGAAATATTAATTGTGTTACGGGGCTACGGTTAGGTGCATAACAGTTTCAGCTCGCTGATCTTCTTCATACTCCGGTACAAACCCGCATACTGCAGAACTGTGATGCAGCTACGTAAAGTTGACCTTAGTGTTCGTCATACACAATAATACACACGGCTAAAGAAGGGGCAAATAAAAAAGGTGTCGTTTACAATCTCCAGTTCTCGAATATGTTACTATAAAAATTAATAATTCCACTAGATTTTCAGTAACAATCGAAAAATCCCAGAGAACCATACACCAGGCAGACGGAATTATTTCACACACTCATCAAATAACTCACTGCACGATCCAGCGAGTCATCACGAGACTGCGGCTCTGATGACGTCGTTGCTTTCTTCCCTGATCCAAAATCGGCAGCGATCGCACTTTGCTCAGTTGAGCGACGAGACTTACGGTGTCCTGCACCTCCAATTTCTGGTTGGGTTATGATCGGTCTGGACGTTGGCTTCATCTCCACGGTGATCTTGGGTGGGGACGAACTTGATGGTACGGTAATCTGGGCTGCTGTTGTACCGTCGGCGTTGTACACCGTAACGAGAAAAGTGCCACCCGGCGTCGCCGTCTCTTTAACCGTATCAGCAGGCGCACTCATTGTTGTCTGCTCGGGTAAACGCTGTGTACTCTTTCCTGCGACTGGCGAAGATTTTTTTGTCTTCTTCGCTTTGTCCGCTCGAGAAGGGGAAAAGCGACGTTTTGCAGGGCTTGTGCGTTTCGATGAAGTGGATGACACAGATTTCTCGGAATCCTCTGACTCAGATGTGTTGAGCTGGTGGAGTCGGTTCTTCCGCAGTTCCATGCCTTCCTTAAAATCTTCGGGATGTAAGCGGATCTTTTTCATTTTGTCGCTCTTTCCCCACGTTCCGTCTGTTCGTTCTCCCAGCTTCGTCATGGCCTTATCCTGATACCGCCGATAGTATAAAAATTTTTTGGGCAACCGACCATGAAGATAATCCTCTCGGTCCGAGGGATCCAGCAGTCCTTGTCGCCAGATCCTACATGGGTAGTGAGGAATTCGGTGTGACTGCGCGCCCAAAAGATGTTGCAGAACATTGGCCTTCAGTCCTTTCCCAATCGATTTGTCGCAGTAAGGGCAAAACCAGACCTCATTTCCTCCTCGCGATCGACTTGCAGTTTGATTGCGAAAAGTATCCTTCCGACGTTCCGTGGAGGGGTCAGCAAGTCTCAACGACATAACGAGGCTTAACTTGCGAGCGACCTTTAACTTAACTGCGAGCGGATCAACGATTTCGTTGCTTTTCTGGATGCCTCTTACTGTTATTAGGCACGGCGTTCACGGTTTCCCTGGAAATTCATAGAAAGTATAAGTCACATAACAGCATCCACTACAAACTGCGTATTGTAAAGTTAATATCGTATGCTCAGTAAACCTCGAAAACAAAACCCCGCTCCGGAAAAGGTGCAGCGGCTGCACTGGTATTGTACTTGTATTGTACATGTGTCAATAAATAATACAGTACTAGTATTGTAAATGAGTACCATCTTTGTACGACCGCAGTTTCCAGAGATTTACAGCTAATTTGATTACAATTACCAATGATTATGAGAAGAAAAGAGAGCTAAATGTTGGACTTGGACTTCAAGCGGGATCGATGCCGTTGCTTGAGGCCATTCTTTTGCAAAGACTAAACAGGGCAACGGGTTTATCGTAGAATCCATAGCATGCAAGAAATCGCTGATTACCAGTATCTTCACATCCACAATCGGGGTGGCCACCATGACGCCGCGGGACACGGGTCCGGGCGTCCAGAAGACCACCGCGCTCAGAAACAAAATCGACAGCACGCCAAAATGGATTCACACAACTTCACCCGGTGTGTGAGTGACCTCGGAGTGATCGGTGCCCTTAGCTGAATGCGTTTACGCTGAGTCGGCGCTGACCCGAGAGATGCCGACTGGATTCCGGATTCTGATGCATCTCAATGGTCACCATTCGCATCCTTCGTCATAAAGTGATATTGTCGACGCGCCATGCAAACATGGGGTAAACTTAAATTATCATAACGAGGTACCGGCTGGTCTCGTATCCGCAAATGATAAAACAGTGTACAGCGACCGCTGCAAACCAAACCGATACAAACAGAAGCCCTTGAAGTGATGCGTATAATCTCCTTTGCAATAAATATCAGCATCGATAGGGTGTTTCCTAAAAGTGCTGTACGATAACATTATACGATGAAGTCACGGTAAAATTGTACGATAAAATTATGGAGTTACTTAATTCTACTTACCCGATAACTAAAATTACGTGACCTTGTGGATAGCTTCCGGTATATATGGGGGCAAAACCAGGCATCTTCCACCGCTTCCCTGTACTGCTGCCGTCAGCCGACTGGGGTATGACGTTGTGGCTGAACATGGCGCTTCTGTACCGCGCCAAATTTAACCATATGTACTGCCGTAACGTCACACTCCCGGCGGGTGACGGCAGCGGTTCAGGGGAACGGTGGAAGAGGCTTAGCTTTTCCTCTTATATAAATAAATAGATTACGGAAGGAAAACGAGTAAATACGACTGAACTTAACTGGTATTTTGGTTTGTCAGAAATGGGATTCACGCGATCGAAATGCCCGCTTTTATTCCCAAAGGAACAATTAGCTTCTACTGCCCACGTTAATTTGACTTCTTTTTGCGACGATGATAAAATGCTTCTCCAGTTTCACAAACTTACTAGTATACTGTATACTAAGTTTTTATACAACTTGCAAGTGCAGTCTCATGGCGCCGGACGCACTGCAGCATAGAATACGGTGTCGGTATAGTAATTGTTAAAAGAAATCTGAACGACATCCGCGCCAAAACGTTTTATTCACTCAGTTAATTTCGCAGATGCAAAATAAAAAACAACAGTTATGCTGGTAGCATTTAATCGGGTGATTCCCATACCAATGAACTATTATAAAAATTAATAAGAACAGAAAACACATAAGCCACATAAGAAAACATTAGTTACTGTACTTACGTTAAAGAAATTAATAATAAACAATAAATATTACAATTATGATATTTTCAGTAACAATGGAGAAATCATCAAGTGAACGGTACAAGGGGCAGACAGAAATTATTTATTTCACAAGTTCATCAAATATCTCACTGCACGATCGAGCGAGCCATCACGGGACTGCGATCCTGATGACGTCGTTGCTTTCTTCCGTGGTCCAGAACCGGTAACGGTCGGATTCAGCTCAATAGAACGACGCGGCGTATCATATCCTGCACATTCCGTTTCCGGTTGGGTGATGATCGGTCGGGACGCTGGTTTCTTCTCGACAGTGATCTTGGGTGGAGACGCACCGGGTACGGAAATTTGGGCTACGGTTGTACCGTCGGCGTTGTACACCGTAACCAGAAAAGTGTCGCCCGGTATCGCCGTCTCTTTAACCGTATCGGAACTGTCCAGAGACGGTGCACTCGTTGTCTGCTCCGGTAAAGGCTGCGTACTCTTTTCTGCGACTGGCGCAGATGTTTTTGCCTTCTTCGATCTGCATTCTCGAGAAACTGGAATGCGACGTTTTGCCGGTTTTGCGCCTTTCGATGGAGTGGATGGCTGGAAATCTTCAGCTGAATCTTCTGGTACTGGTGGATTCCGTAGATTCATGCCTTCTTCGACATCGCTAGGATGTAATCGGATGGTGCGCTGTTTGTCGCTCTCCTTCCATTCTTCGTATGTTGGCTTTCCCAGCTTCGTCATGGCGTTATCCTGATACCGGCGATAGTAGACACATTTCTTCGGCAACCTACCATGAAGATAATCCTGGCGGTCGACGGGATTGCGCAGTCCATTTCGCCAGATCCCGCATGGATAGCTACATTTCGCCTTCTTTTTGCCCAAAAGATGCACTAGAGCGCTACCCTTCATTCCTTTTGCAAACGATTCGTCGCAGTACGGGCAAAACCAGACTGTATCTCCTTGGCTTGTACTTGGATTGCGAAGAGTATCCTTCCGGCACTCCGCGGTGAAAACAGATGCGTCAGCCCGTCTCAGAGGCATAACGCGTACGGGGGTTGGCTTGCCTTTGCCAGCCGTTCGACGGGTTTTCTTGCTCGTCTTACACATGGCGTATACCTGTTATTAACACGTACAGATAAGTGAGAGTGAGATAAAAAACGTACACCTAAAAATTCGTAATGATTCTCAATAAAGCAAGATTACAATGACGTACTAGTAATTTCTTCGTCTAATATGAACAGAGCATCGCAAAAGCACTAGAAAGGTAAGTACATCTTCGCAAAATCGTTCCAAACTGCAGGCACTAGCCGCATTACATCCCAACCGATAAAAGTACTTATTGGTGCCGTGACTGGCGTGACAGTAATGACTTACGTAATCGAATTCCCCGAGACACAGTAGCGATTACTACTTTGACTTCCGGTTACAGGTCTGAAATTAACTCCTGAAAAAAAGTTTTCCTCTGAAAATTTCAGACCAGCGATCAGCATCTGAAACGACCAGCATCTGCCTGTATCTGATAACGGCATGTAGTCTGCTCAAGCTTACTTGTCAGTCTGGCTGTCATGACTCACAATCAGGAGTTTTGTTCTTTATACAGCGGCTCTACCGCTTTATGGTTGTACGAGCGCAGTTGTACGAGGTTGAATGACAGGTTTTAATACGTACTTCGTACTTCAACGGTAAATTTTACAATTCAAATAAGAGCCCAGTTTCGGCACAGTGGTGGTTTTAATCCTCTAACAAAGATGATGTCATCCTCTGGGTTTTCTGTGGTCTTGAATTATTAGTAATTTTGTATTAATTTATACGTGACATCGTCGTCAGTCAGATAATTAGTCTAAGTATAGAATCTGATAATATAAGTTGCAGTAACCGTAACCATAAGTACTGAAAAATTCGTTATTAAATCGGCATAGATGATTGTGATCTGGACAATTTTCTTCCGATTCTAATGAATTATCGTCAGTTCTCGGTAGACTTGGTACAAAATTACAACTAGACTGGTGAAACTACCCAGTTACTAGAGTAGACACACTGAACATCACAGATTTCGAGAAAATGGAAAATAAAAATTGTGCAACTTTAGCGAAAACATTCAGAAATACCGCCGCCCTTTGACGCCATTCTTTGGGAAATACCAGACAGAACAGTGGATTTATCGTAGAATCCAAAGCAAACAGAAAATCACTGATTGCCAATATCCTAACATCCAGAATCGGTGTGGCCGCCATCACGCCACGGGCCACGTGTCCGGGCGTCCAGAAGACAACCGCGCTCAGAAACAGAATCGGCAGCACGCCAAAATGCCTACGGGCTTCGCCACTTCGTTCTGTGTGTGACGCCGGAGCGGTCGTTGCTTTTAACAGAATGCGCTTTCCCTGACCCGGAGAGATACCGATCGATTCCGGATTCTGCTGCATCTTAATGGTCACCACTCGCATCCTTCTTGGCGCGCCAGGCGACGATAGATGGATTATCGTAACGGGTAACTGTGGTGCCGGGGCGTTATAGTCTGTAAGTATCCGTACATGGTAAAACGCAGTGACGGCTGCAAAACGAAGATCTCTCAACCGGGAGCATAATTCGGGGGATATCCTTTGCGATAAATATCGGAATCTATAGTGCACTGACAAGAACCGCGATGAATAAATGGAACCCTCGCTTAGCTTTCGCGTGGCCCGTAGAGTATGCCATATGGTGCTTGAACACCGAGATGACCGCCCATAATCGTTCTGGTTAATTAACGCGTGCTTGTAAATAGTTCGGCACGTATTATTATTATGTTGTAGCTTGAAAAGCATACAAGAACAAGTGTCATGAATCGCTTTCAAAAATCCACTGGCGCTCGAGATAGTTGCTGATGTGCATGAAGCTGACCGTATGTACATTGATTCACTCAGGTTCAGCGGTGACAATATCGCTGCTGAATGGTGTCCAAAGGCACTCACGGTCAGTAGAAGATTTGCAGAAGATGGCAAGAAGGAAGGTACTGTAACTAAAAAGAAAATAGTAACAACACTTACAAGGTGTACACTCTCTCTGTCGCGCAAAGCAAAGCAGGCTTCGCGTGGGCTAATACGATCGGAAGTTAACCTGTACCGGATGTGCTCATTACTCTAACTACGGTTTCTGTAAATATCAATTATTTAGTTAACAGTAACGAACGTACAATTGTTACATCATGCTCATAACGTCTGCATTTGAAAATCTCACATTCGGTCAGGATGTGCGATCTTTTTGGTTACTGAACTTTTTGCTGTGTCGAGGTGAGCCGGAAACAAAAAATTATAAGAAAAACGTGTACGCTTACGTAAATTCATACTGTATTTCCACATGCTGCAGTTTTGAGCATGAGGCTGCTAGTAAATTTTTGGCAGCGCTTAGAAAGGATTTGGAATCTGGCATACGAGTGCGCCTCTAATCAACCGTATCTCCACACCGCTGAAGGTCTTAATTATAGCCCAGCTGGTGCAGAACATGAACGACATTCACGCCAAAATATTTTATTCAACCATAAATTCCCCACTTTTCCAGTATCAAGTTAACAATTTCATATATTGACCGCACATCCGTCAACGTCGGTGCCGCAGCAGAAATGGCCGAAACAAAGAAACTCGCAAAACATGCGTGGCTGCAGCCAAGGTATAACTTCACCCCAGCAGCCTTCGAAGTATATGGACCTTTGGGCGGCGGAGCGATGAAGCTGGTCGATAAAATCGGACACCTCTTAGTGGCCGCTACCGGACAACCACGCGCGAAAGAATTTTTCCGGCAGCGGATCTCTATACAGATTCAAAGAGGAAATGCCATGTGCGTGATGGGGACAATACCGGATCACGAGAAACTAGAGGAAATATTCTTTTTATAACCTCTTAAAACTGCATTGTTGTTTTTGTTCTGTTCATATTGTGTTATGCTGGTATAGACAGGCATATGGAAGCTTACCCCCAGATTATTCCACCCATAGAAATGTGCTGTATGATTGTATCTATTAATGAATCTCGCTTCAGTTAACAATATTTACGGGTTTTCTTGCTTGCCTGAGTCTTGGTGTTCACCTGAAACGGAACGCAGTATACGCTAACTAACCACGTCTACTAAAGACTGCACAATATTAGCATTGGAATTAAATATACTTAAGTAATTATTTAGTTTTAATTTAATATGGACAGAGAAACCCAGAAGCGCTGGAAAGGTGTTTTACAAAATCGCTCATTTAACAGGGAACACAATACAATGGAAGCCAAAATTGTCTTACATTCGGTCCGGGACCGAATGACCAATAAAAATAAATGGCCAGGACCAAATGACCAATAAACAGAAAATGCGCAAGAATACGAACACTTGTTCCTGGCGCATTTCCCAATGAAAACCATCAAGCGATATCTCAAACGAAAGACAAAAAAATTTCTAGAATTTCGATACCAAACATGTCATCCTTCATGAGATCTAAGGGAAAATCCAGCCATTTTAGTTTGTCGTAGACAAAGCACACGATTTCTGTGTGAAAACTGAAACCAAACCGCGGATGCAAATTCTATGCTATGTCTACGAGAAACTTTAGATGCCTGGATTATCTCTTAGATCTTATAAAGAACACCTTGTTTGGTATCAAAATTCTTGAAATTTTTTCCTCATTCGTTTGAGATATTGGTCGATGGTTTTCGTTGGGAAATGTGCAAGTGTAAATGTCAGCAGGCCGATGGCCAGTCAAAAATTTGGCTGTTTGAGTAAGTACTGTACTCTCGGCTCAATATGTCTCGGTTCTGTAAAGTGTAGCCAGTCTTGCACTGTACGCGGTTCAAAAAATTCGCTGAATCAGGTGAACATCAATCCACCAATGAGCGTGATTGGCTGTAATACTCGTCAAAGTAACGGCTAACGATCGGTTTTCGAGCGCGTTGAACAGTAACGGTTCAGTTTTTTTCCCTCAGATTTCACAGCTTAAACTTTCAGTTTCTTAAATCCTTTCCACGACGACAATAATGAATTTTATGTCGAAACGAGCTCAGAAAACTAATTTAAAATTTAAATCAAAACAAAAATCAAATTTGGGACTTTAAGTAGAAGAATAAGTCTGGCTTTCCAAAGAACCGTCTGATTTTGATTACTGGAGTACCCACAGAAGGGTTCGAGCTGTTCAGACGGTTCATTAGGCCTGAAAGACCGAACTCATTGAATTACGTGACGTCAGTATAGTGTTGCATGGAAAGACCATACAAAACAGAGACATCGTGAGTCGAGAGTACAGTACAGAAAAGTGCTTGGTTGCGCGAGTTTTGTGATTACATAAGTGTAAGACAATTTTCAATTTTGGCGTCCATTGTACGTTATGCCTTACGGCAGAAGTATACCCTTTTCTAAATAAAATCGTACATATAAATCAGATCTCGAAATACGGTATCAAATGTCGATATACATGTCGATATACGGTATCAAAACGGTATCAAATACGGTATCAAATGTCGATATATATTTTGGCTTTCGACCACAGGTCTGGAACACTGGAAACTTTGGATTATTTAACGATCATGCAAGAAAACTTGGCGCTACAATACAGTCACAAGTTTACATAAAAATGAAAGAATTGTACTGAATACACAGCCTCAGCCGACTACGGAAATGGGCGGCCTAATCACACAGAACATTTCGTCTAAGTTGGCCGATGCTGGTGCTGTTCCCATGACAGAGGCCGCGTTCCCGCGTTGGACGTCAATGCTAATCCGTTGGCGCAAAAACTCAGTCGCCCGTGCCTCTGCATCTGGTACATCTGCATCTGGTACAAATCGCAATCTGTCAGGACTCAGGATCTGATAACGGCCTGCAGTTCTGCTGCCTGGCTGTCATGACTCACGAGTTTGCATGGGCATTGGGCAGCGGTTGTGCCGCTTTAATACGAGTACTGCATTGTACTCTGTACATTAATTGTTACGAAGTACGTAAGAACATATACTTATTCTCGTGCGAGCCAGATTTACGGTGAATTTGAATAATTTATTAATGGTGTATTTGAGTGCTCAGTTTAAGGGATTTCGCCCGGCACATAGCACCAAATTTGTATACATCCACGGCAACTTTCGCTGTCGCGCACTCCCAAACACTTTTCTGCATTGCTTTATGATATTTTGTAGCCAAAGGATTCGTATATAGGCGAAAAACCGTATGTGCGCGCAACATCCGGTTCGGGAGTTATTAGTGAAATAAAATTCCAAAAGTTTAAACGCGCGGAGGTGTACCAAAAGTCTCATTATGAACAGATGCTCTTCAAGTTTTGCACGAAAACGGATTTCACGCCTTCGTATCTATATATAAATCCTTTAGCTACAAAATGTCATAAAGCAATGCAAAAAAGTGTTCAGGAGTGCGCGACAGCGAAAGTTCCCGTGTATGTACCCGAATTTGGTACTATGTACCGGGTCGTTAATTTTACGCAGTCGTGCTGCTTTGATAATGACATTATTGTCATCCTCTAGTTTTCCGTGATCTTGAATGTATTG